TTGAAAGCAGTCATCTCCCAGCGGATCAGGCGTGAGCAATTTGGCGAGTCCTGGTGATTGCGCGTCGGCCCGCCTTGATTACCTGCAGGATGCGACGGACGAGACAGCTGGGAGATTTGTTTACTGCTTCCCGTGTGCGGGAACATGCTCGAATTAGGCAGAGACAACCACTGGCCACTGCATACCTCTCATCCCCACGACCATCTCAGTGGACGGAGTGTGGAGTACGTGACCTTATCCACGAAACGTAAACATGAGCACAGCCTGAACAGTGCAGTGTGAGAAGAGTGTGAACGTGCTGAACCTTCAGGTGTGCAACACTCAACTGTGTGAAAATTGCTCAATGCGCGTTTCAGGTTCGCCGCTACACGACGCGCGCAATCACTGGAAAATCAGCGATTGGCCCGTCCAACGGCCTTGTACTTTTGGTGCGTCGTGGCTGCCCAACGTCAACTTCGGAATCCGGTAAGTGGCTCGTGACGTTTCATGTGGTGCTGGTCGGCCAATCATGACGGGGTGGGGGCGATTGTTTTCGGTACCTCGGTATGCAATCAATACGCATTCACACAGTCCTCAGCGCCATGTCACCGTTGCCTCTGGAACAGAGAATTCAGAGTGCCTCCTTGTATCGACCTCTTCCACAAAATGCTTGCCTGCTTACTCGAACTGCGCATGTGCCTCTCTTTACCTCGGCTCAACCAGCCTTTTCTACTGTGTACGCCACGGTCTACCTCTCTCGGCCAGTCGGCGAGACCGAGCTGCAATGCCCAATGAGGATCCGCAATCTGCCAGCTGAGTCTTTCGCCACACAACAACCGTTACTTTTCTCCCATACGAGGTACAAGGTGGAGGAGATTCACAAAAAAAAAAAAATCGATACTGGCTTTGGACTGGAGAAGCGTGACAGGAACCCTGCATGACCTGTTACACACAACTTTGGCCGATTCGGGATGTCGTGTGCCTGAAGCCCTTCTCACATCCAAGCTGAGCGGGCAGGAGAGCCAGGAGACGTTCCCCAGGCAGTCCAACTCCCTCTAGTCGCCTGATTGGCGGCAGCGCACAGTACGACCTGACCATCGAGATCCAGGTAACGTACTCTTGACTCCATTCCTCATCGGCTATGTAACAGGGCCATTGATCCATGTTCTTTGTCTCGTTCGGAGTGCTGCGTCTATCTCCAAAGCGGGACCGGCCACGACAAACTCTAACCACACAAATGCGGAAGGCGGGCCATGTCAAATGGTACCCCAGCTTCCCACTTTGTGCTCTCCAGCTGAAGACCCTATGTTGCACTTACAACTAATAGGCTTCGAATGCGGAATGAACACGAATCCGGTTTTCATGGAGTCGCATTCACGTCGGTTCCGCGAAGTCAGGGGTTTTGGATCCGTTTCTCCGACCGTATGTCGATCGCCTTTGTTGTGCCCGTCGTTTGGCGCCCATCAGTTCAGGCGAACCAACCTCTGCAAACGCGAAGAACCACGGGAGAAAATGCAGAGACTCGCTTTCGTCGCTTTCCCCACACGGCCTCTGCCAAGGCTTCTCGGTGACTGACTGTGGTGTCGGTCTCGCGTCAAGCCTAGGTTGGACCAAACTTTTATGTCAAAACCTCGAATCGGTAGTTCGCTTAGTTGACATCAAACGCCTGTTATGTTGTGCCCACATGCGGTCTCTTTGGGATGCCCGATCAACGCCATTCCGGATAGGAGCTCTTGTGCCCTCGCACTTGGAGCCCACATATTGCCTGGTTTGCAGTGAGCGACTTCCGTCACTGGAGGTTGCCTGAGGGGTGGGCGTTTCCACATTCTTCTTGAGTGGCGACGAGGACGGCCGCAATCCTTGCAGATGGGTGCACTATTGGCCAGTCCTCCACCCGGAAAGACTCTCAGGAGGGTGCAAGTTCAACAGCGCCAACACCATCTGTTGTCGAGTTGCAGCCAATCACGCTATCTGATACGTCCCGGCGAATGAGAGACCATGTCGCAGAGTGAGATCGGGGCGCATCTTCCAGAAAGACGCCACGGAGCATCTGTCGTCAACGGGTCGCACTAGCAGTACAATGTTGCGCATGAGGTTGGCGAGCTCCACTGCATACGAGTACCTCGTACTTACCAGGTTGCCGGAAACGACCCGTCTTTGTTTCCAGGCCCTTGCCAGAAGGCTGTCCGAGTACAGCGGGATGGGGGCCGTTCTGGCTAGCTGAACACGAGCTGAGGATCGGCTGCTCTGGACCAACCATCTCCTTGTGCGTCACGCGAGTATTAGAGATGCCCCGAAGCAACGCAACGAGACAACGTGATTGGTGTAGTGGGCACCAGGCTGTCTTTCTCAGGGGCAAGAGAGCGCCTGATTTGGTTGGGGTTGCTTGACGTGATCGGGCGATGAAAGCGGAGTCTGTCTGGTCGTTCGGGTTCGACATAAACGGACAGCAACTCCACCCGTGTCGGTGACTTGTTCGCAAAGGCGAGAGGCGAGCTCATTCGAGAAGGACCTGTCCGGAAAGAGCAACTGCTAGTGCTCGTGAACTCACCATCGTCCCTTGAACGGATCTCGCCAACACCGTTCAGCACAGCCACAACTGCCGGTTGGGGCTGAAGGATGCCTCCTGACACAAAGACCATGACGATCATTTCTCACCTTGAACGTTCCCCATCTTCCGGTTCCCAGCGGGTCCAATTCTTGCAGCTGACCGCTGAACATGCCCGTTGTGAAATTCTCCCTCTCCCTCTGGGCTGGCGCTGCATCCGGGTTGCAATCGCGACCATGGAGACCACAGAGACTCTGCGCTTAGGACCTACGGCATGCACAGTCTCTGTGTGCAGACTGACTATGTTGCCGAATGCATTGATGATTTTGCGATACCTCTGCACAGCTGACTGATTTCTGAGTGGTCCGCTGCACTGCCCGAACTATTTGCTTCTGTCCCGTTGCAGCTTCAAACGTTCACAGACTGCCTCGGAATATAGCTGCAAATCTAGCCTGCGACGTCGATCTCTCACAACCACGACTATACGTGCGACCAGAATCCTACCCCTTGACGAGCGACCACTGTCGATGCGGCGTCTGAACCTCTCGCGGCAAGATCACCTCAAAGCGATACAAGATCCATCACACTGCCTCAGATGCCAGACGATTTTGGGTCGTTTCAGGTACTCGTTTGGGTTTGTACCACCCATCCGAACAATACACACCCTCAGCCCAAGCCGCCTACTGCCGAGGTGAGAAGATTGATTACAGAGCGGTTGGAACGACCTCATCATATATCCGTATCCTCTTCATCACCATGGATAACTTTCGTGGGAGGTGGCTTTTAAGCTCTTGATCGCTCTACATGCGAAAAAGGAGGTGGTGTTTAGTCATTGGGGCATCTAGACTGCGGCATGGGAACTGCGTCAATGGTGCTAATTACGACATAGACCGCAGCTTCATATATCGAAGCACTGATAGTCTGGTTTCGGAGGCGTCTGAGTGTGTGACACCTGCATCCTCGTGATTTGGTGACTCCTGCCTAAAGTTGGCGGGTGGCTTCGTCTCACAGCGGTTGTCGGCAGCTACAGACGCTGTCGACGTGCTCATGCGGCTCATGTGGAAGGCGAGACTCTCCTATATTCTGAAGGACTGCATCAGAGAATCGAGCTTCGGCCCTTCAGCAATAATTGTATTGCGCTGCACCTCGGTCGCTGAAGGATGGGGCTGTCTCAGCCTCATGCCTCGAGTTTTGTCCCATTGGCTGCTCGAAGCGTCTCAGCCGCACGTCTCGCAGCTGCCTTTCTCGGGCGGCTTCAGCCAGCCACCTTCACCGCACCCAACTCGACCTTTCCCTCTACCTGAGTCGCAGCTGCTTTCCGCTCACTTCACTCTCATGTTTATTATTCTTCCACGCGATGCACGCAGCCGAGCACCGTTATGAGTGAGGATACCAAAGCTCAGGCGCCGGCCCTTGAGGCCAGTGCGAATCAGGCTGATGAAGATCAGCCGGCGATAGCGCAAGCCGCTTTGGCCACTCCGGATTTTAACGTGTTACGGTCCGCCGTACGAGAGTCCACCGCGCGTTTGCAATACCCCGAGACTGGAGAGTGGACTACGGAAGACCTGGAGAATATCGAGTCCGTCGCGATGGCCCAGAACAACTGTGTAGGCTAACGCAGGTGCAGGACTGCCGAAGATCTTTCGCCAGAACAGTGGAACAAGATCTTTCGCATCAACAAGGTCTTGTATGGCTTCACCATCAGGGAGTCGGAGAGCGACATTGTTAAGGCTCGGCAGCAGGGTAAGAGGGCCTCCTGTTGGGTACTGGGATGTCTACTGAATGCGTGTTTGCTCCTTAGCTTTCGTTCTGCAGCCTCCCCCCTCGGTGCAGGATCCAGTGCTAAGTGGGCTTCCGGAGTATGAGGTTTGCGATTCTTCGTCAATCTCGATCAAACAGATCAAGACCGACCTTCAGCGTTCTCTTGCCGAGAATGGGTTCTCGGCGAAGTCCATCAGCACCGCACTGTAAGAGTTACCCGCGTCTTGAGACACCGGTTGGCTGACCGAACCACGAGCGGAGGGGGAGCATTTGGGGTCACGGCCGGCATCTCGGCCAGCCTCAAGGCGGAAAGCACACAGACGAACGTGGTGGACAGGGACAAGGCAGAAATGGAATACTACGCGGCTTACAATGTGTGCCTCATTTCTCCAGTTCTGTTTCCGATGGCTGACCTCAGCAGTTTCCGCGGGCAAGGTTGTTCCTTGACGAGGACAATCTGGCATTGTCACCGCAGTGCCAAAGAGCTCTTGAGGCCATTCGACGAGACCGTACAGATCAGCAATTGCGGAAATTCAGTGAGAAATTTGGTCAGCTCTAGCCGGTCCGAAGGTGCGATCGAGGGGCTAACACCACGTTAGGCCACATTTTCGTTACAGCGTGTCAGCTGGGAGGTCAATTACAAAGCTCCAAATTCGCCGGTTCTCTCACAGAAAGCAAAGATATTCAGAAACAGGATGCCTTGAAAAGTGAGATGGGCATCAACTTCAACGCCCAGTACGCCTCAGGATCCATCAATTATGGCAGACAGCGTCAGACAGGCAGTCAGGACTTTACCGGCCGTGGAGTTGATGTATCGAGCTTGGCGTGGACGGCCAGAGGCGGCAACTCGTTGTTATGTGCAAAGTGGGTCGCGCCGGATCTTGAGTGAGGCTCCTGCTGACCGAATGTAGTCCGCCCGGATGGGCACGCAGTGTCGCAAATCCAAAACATTGGAGAGTTATCGAGGTGAGCCTCATTCACGGTCAACCGCTCACAGGCTAACCCGTGCACATCAGCAAGAGAGAGTTGTTACTCTCCATGAGCTCATTGGGCGATTCGAGGAGTGGAAGGATATCCCGAAGCTGTTCGAAGACATTGCTCAACAGAGGATCAAATCTGGTGGCCGAGAAAGGCCGAAATGGCGCAATCAGATACGCCTTCGATTAGGCAATAATAGACTCGCATGGAATGCTCTCGACAACAAGTCACTCGAGGTGACAGGAGACTCACCAGAACAGGGGGCTGGTGAACCTCTGTTCACTGTGCTTGGAGCCAATATTGGTGACCAAAGCGCGGTCCCGTTCTTGCCAACAGTAGGTGCTCATGCGCTGGGACACCGTGACCCTGCTGATGAAATGGCCCTAGCTGCCGACCGATTACCCGGTGTACCTGCTCGCCGGCAATGAGTTTCACAGGAACCCTAAGCTAAACAACCAGATCCAAGGCATCTTTGTTGATGAGGGTGGAAAGATTAAGCCGGAAATGGTAGAAAGCAAGCTCAGGCAGGTTACGCGTTTCTCGATCCGCCTGGCCGGCCAGGAAGGCTGCTGGCGCAAATACAACCAGCAACCGTTCGAAACCATCCAGTCAGGCGATAAAGTGAACCTATACTGCCACTCGGTGGGAGTCGGGCCCTATGCCAACATCGAGCATCCACCTGAGATTGCCACGCCGGTTCTTTATTCTCCCACAGAGCGAAGGCTGCTGCTTCCAGCTTCACGCCGAACCCTTCTGAACAATGGCAGCTTGCGTGAGATACTACGGCAGTATGATGAAGGGACTCTCCCGGTCGCGGACAGAATGGCATTCGAGATGAAAGGCCACCTTACCAGCGATGACAGGATTGGGAAGATCAAGGCCGATGGAGGCAACTTCCAGTCGCGCATTCTAGCGGAGTTGTCATACCCCAGCCCGATGGCGGCCAGGGCGTGTTGGCAGAAATTGTCGCAGCTTACAGGGGAAGGGCGTTCTGGTCCAGAGAGATTCACCTGGACGCCCTATCTGCCGAACGATGTTGCATTGGCAGTGTTCACCATCACCTTTGAGTGAACGCTTAGTAGCAATAGAGTAGGCTTGAGGCGGAAATCCTGCAACAGCACAAAGTACATACTAAGCCGACCGGCAAAGGAGGAGCGGTAGCAGTCTGATAAACATCATCACTCTACTGCTTGATTGGCGAGACCATGGCTACCGCGTAAAGATGCTCTCATCTGCAAGACCATATGAAGGATTGCAATCCCGAAAACGCCGAATATGCAAATAAGAAGAGAAACCGTCCCATGGTCCCATCTACGGTACATCCCCCAGTCAATTAAAGCAGCCTCTTCAGATTTTCAACCGCCGCCTCTAACAAGACGGGCATGTATCCTTGCTTCTTGGCGTTCGCAATCATCTCCGTCGCCATCTCCAGAGCACCTGGGAATTTCTCCTGCGCGTATTTCTTGAAAGCGGCTTCGATGCCATCGGCGTCTTCAAACGCCCGCGGAATCACCTCTGAGAAGATGGTGCTCCCGCCCGCCGCACCGGCGATGATGCTGAACCACTGTTTCTTCTGCTCGGGGCGCATGAGATCGAGCGCCTGGGCGAATTTGATCGTCTCGTACGCCGAGACGAGGTGGATGAGGGCATGCGCGGTGGCGATGTCGCGCGTCGTCGTGCTGGCCCGGTGCTGCTGCTCGCCAGTGGCGTTTCCGGCCTGTTTGACGACGAGCGCTTCTCGCTCGGACCCGAAGCCCAGGTACGACTGGACGATGCAGCTGTCGTCGGCGGTGGCGTGGGTCTTCATGACCTCGGAGATGACGTCGCTGGCCGTGTTGAGCAGCGGCAGGTCGACGTGCAAGCGCACCTCCTCGTCGCGGATGATGCCCACGTCCTTGTTGATGATCAAGGTGGCCGACGCCAGGGGCGGGGTCGCGCTCAACATGCGCGGGCCCCGGTTCTCGAACATCCAGCTCCACCCGACGGGCGGTTTGCCGGTGGTGTCCCGTGCCGGGATGAGCGCGTCGTAGAATTTCTGCGTGTCCAGCCCGTGGATGGCCGCGAGTCCCATGATCTCCGACGCCGCGGGGATGTGGATCCCGCATTGCACCTGGTTCAGCGCCTTGGCCGACTGTCCGGCCCCGAGGCCGCCGGGGATCGGGTACAGCGTCTTGCCCTTGGACGCGACGCTCTCGAGCACGGCCTTGGCGCTGGGCTCCTGCAGGTTCTCCATCACGTCCGACGAGACCATGATGGTGAGGGTGCCGTTGATGGAGCGCGCCACGCCGCCGGACACGGGCGCGTCGATCAGTTTGACGTCCGGGCGGCCGAATTCGCGCGTCAGCCTGTCGCGCACGCTCGACGGCTGCGTCGGCGGGATGGTCGCGTGGATAATCACCGTCACGTCGCGGGGCAGCGCGTGCACCGCGCCGCCCTCCGTGTCGAACAGGGCCGAGTGGACGTGGTGGTGGTTCGCGACCATCAGGCACACGACGCTGGCGTGGCGGACCGCTTCGGCCGGCGAGGTCGCGGTCGCGAACGTGGCGGCAGTCGTGCCGGTGCTCGCAATCTCCTTGCATGTCGCGCGCCAGCGGTCCAGCGTCGGGCCGTAGATGTCGTAGCCTGTCACGGGGAAGCCGGTCCGCACGAGGTGGGTGGACATGGCGAAACCCATGGCTCCGAGGCCGATGAAGGCCACGGCCGGGTAAGGCTGGTTGGTTGGTGTTGAGGATGCGATTGCCATGGTCGGTGGTGTCGTACTACTCTCTCCAGGGGAAGAAACACACGCCGAGAGTTTTCACTCGATGTGAGGGTGTCTTGTGTAGCGGTGGGTATAGCGACCCCAGATCTCAGACTTTGATCCTGGTCTCGAATTTCGTTCACTATGGCGACAAATCAACCAATTGAACGATCGTCAGATCAATGATATAAGCGAGGAAGTATATCAGACGGTGTAGTCGGCGATAAGACCTTCAACAGCAAGTAGAAAACAGGCCACGAGAATTGATATGAGTTGTGATTATGGTGACGATTCAAGAAACGTTGAACCCTCCTCCCGCCTCATCGAGCCAGCTCTTATGAGGAGTGAGGTACTCCGTGTCGCACGGGTAAATGGCTGGTGGCGATCCGGCCGGCGGTTTATATCGGCACATGGCCGGTCGGGTGGTCGAGGAAGAGAAGTGGATGTGGAAGTGGAAGTGAGTGGAAGGAATGTGGGGGAAGCGATAGGGTTGGGTTCTGGGTTGGCAGAGCACCTGGCCCTACTACGTCCACAGTACGTAACCTACACAGTCTGGAGTTGTGAAGAGAATGAAAAGGTGGAATGCCGACCCAGTCGCCACGGCGGACGCTCGGTCAAAGTGCCGGCGCCGCGAAGATTTTCTGAAGGTGTCGCTCACGTAAATTGCGTGACTGGGTGAGCTGCTCCGCCGCACGGGTACGCGGTAGGGTCGAGCACGCGGTCTTGGGTAGCAGCGCCCGGGAACTCCGGAGACCTCGCCGGGATATTTCCGTCCTCGACAGCGCTCACATTTCCTGCCCAGCTTCCTTCGGGCTCAATTTCTAGCGAGCTGTGACTCTTGGATGCTTGGTCCTCGTATCGATTGGGCTTGCGACGGGATCGGCGCGGTATCATGTCTCTACTGTCTACAGAGTACCAGTACGAGTCTCAAGTCCAGTGAACAAAGACAAGCCACCTACTCCGTACTGGATAATGCAAAGGGGTCGCCTGGTGTCTCTGCTCGTCATCACCGTCGCTTGCATGCACGAGATTGTGCACTGTTCGGGTTTGACCTGCTCCAACCAAGTTCGGATATGCCTTTCCACGAACTGGCTGGCTGTTGACCGACTGACTAACTGACACTTGATCCGCTACTTCATCAAAGACCGTATTCTATGCCAACGCCGAAACGTCCTTGACCAACGGTAGTGTCACTGTTGGTATAGATGCGCTGTACGTCTGACCGGTGAACGGACTCTTTCTCCACGAGGGATGAGGCTGCGTGGCTAGACACCGAAACCGCCAACGCCAGCTGTTCGTGACACCACCATCATACCCTGTAAAATCCGCATACAGAACCCGAGATGCATCAATACTGGGCCTGCGCGGGACGGACAGCTTCTTGGGCGGCGCATGACCTTGACCACGCAAGCAAGGTACTTGAACAGGCATACTCGAGCGGCCACTCCTCCTGCTTGTCCAGGGGACGATTGGACTGATACCGCAGCCTCAAACCGAAGAGCATCTCCCCATCTCGGATGGGCGCGTAGATTCACTGCCGACGGGCGGGCACGAGGTGGTCTGTGCGCAACACGAAGTAGGGCAACTGCAAGGCAGACATTTCGCCAGCCACCTTCTGCCTCAGCCTCGTTGAGCGACTTGGTGGGCGAGATCAGTCACAGGGCCTTATAACACCACGGATCCCCCTTTGCTTCATCCGTATGGCGGGCACAACGAGAATACTGACAGGTGAATGCTCAGCTCCATGACTCCATATGCTCACAGAGATTACGACTCTGTATACTCATTGACACTGTCGCCTCCATATGCTCACTGACATTAGCGACTACCGTATGCCCACTTTCTTCCCTGGTGATCAGAAGGCTGTTTTCGGCAGCAAGGCGGGAAAGTTATCTCCTGAAAGCTCAAAGATGACTTCCAAATATCCAGCCGCAAAGGCCAGCAAGAACATCAAAAGCCCTAGAACGGCTTCGAGTCTCAGACAATACCGCCAGGACGACGATTTGGCTTCACAGCCGGAAACGGTGTATTCGCAACAGAGTGGCAGCCCAAAATACGCACCCGACAACGCCAACATGCGAAATCTATCTCAATGGCATGACAACACTGGGCGAGAGGGTCCTTCGCAATACGAACGACGGCCTGAGCAACGCGAGGCTCAACAATATGAGCGGTTCACCTCCGACCCAGCGCTGTCAGCACTCCCCGACGTTAACATATACGAGCATATTCTATTGCTTCGCAAGCATGGAATGTCGGTGAAGCTCGACCGCGAAGCAGCCAGAATAATGCCCCAGCCAGGACGCGACGAGTTCAACAACCACGACAACTCTATCGAACACAACCCACTTACTGACAGACACAATCCCTCGCGCGAAGAGAAGCAAAACGTCAGCCATGCGCTCGAATTCGTCTTGCGCCGCGGCGGAAAGATCGACATTCCTCCTTTCGAGCCACGGCCGGTGTGCAGACAGTGTTCCGAGTCGTTCGATACCATGAGTGAGAAGCTTTACCACTGTGACAGAGCACGCAATCGATGCAAGCACTGTGCTTAGGACATTGCATGCCTTCTCATGCTGAAAGAGCACCTGGAAGACGAACACAAGATTTACAAGCACTTGAGTCTGGACTTCGGCGGTCTGAGAAACTAATAGCTCCTTGTCTGTGAACCATATACTGTGTAACTCTAGGTCGGTCACGGAAAGTCTCTTATGGCGGTGAAAGGGTCATTCTCTGTATCACTATGTCAATTGCCTTTGATATTCTTCGGACGGCTTCAAAGGCTGCTAGGGCATCCGTCAATCTGGCCTGGTCGAGTTGTCTTGACTACCTTATATCCTGGAGATGGTTGTAATGGTATTTGCGATTACAAGTACTTGAATCAACAGCGTACAATCCAAGGGGCCTTCGATAGTGTGGCACTCGATGTTCCTGTCCTGCTTCAATCAGCCCGCCTTGTAGGTCTCGTCCTCGTACTGCGTAGTGCTCGATCCACGACCCCCTGTCAGTCAATCCCTTGTGGCAGGGTCCTCGTCGGCCGACTACGTCATTGCCTCCCGTTGGCATTTCAAGTTTCTCTCCCTCGATGCATCCATCATCCTGGACAACAACCCCTTCCCACTCGTTGATTTGTTGGTCCTATCCTCCTGACGCCTTGTCCGCCGTGCAAGCCACGCACCCAGGTCCTGGCGATTCTGATGGGCAAGACCCCGAGGTGACGTATCAGCCACACACCTGGCTTGCCGTCGTGTTTCGTGCCACATGCCAGTCCATCCACCAGTCCACCAGTCTGCCACATGATGCCATCATGCCGTCCAGACTTATTTGTGAACCTGTGTGAGTTGACGTTTTCAAGTGATCGCGCAGTCCAGGTTAAAGACCCAATGCCTCAAAGTCGATCGTGACTATTCATCCTCGCCATATCATCTCGCGACTCATTACTTAGTCATTACGCCTACGCCTACGCATACGCCTACTCACTACTCACGCTCTGAGCAAAGCAGGTCACCATCAACTCCCATCACGTAACGTAACATCACATCACATCACATCACTTTCGACACCACCATGTCCAACTCCAACTCCAACCCGAACCAGGAACCTCAACCTCAATCCCAACAAGACCAAGCCCCAGGCTACTACGCCTCGACCAAACAATGGTACAACAAACAGTACGAGTCCTGGATGCCATGGGTGGAAGACAAAGTGCTCGGCTGGTTCGGGCAGAACAAGACGAGCTACGTCGCGAAGGGTAATGCGCCCCCAGCCCAGACACGATAGATGCGCGTTATGTTATGGCGTGCATCAAGTCTCCTCCAGACCTTATCCATCCGCATACTAACACCATCGTGAATTTCGCAGGCGAACTCGACAAGACCAAAATCACGGGCGACAAGAACGTCGACGCCATCCAGGACGGCATCAACGAGGGCGTCACGGGCCAGTTTAAAAAGGGCGGCCTCCTCGAGGGCGTGGGCGATCTGACGAGTAAAGAGGTGATGAATCGTGGGGAGAGGAAGGGGAAGAATGACAAGGGCGGGTATGGGTTGTAGTCAGGGCCTATATAGATAGGCGCGCCTGTCTGCCTGTCTGTCTGTCTGTCTGTCTGTCTGTCTGTCTGTCTGTCTGTCTGTCTTCTGCTTTGGGTGGGACTAGCACACTAGCACAGCAGCCACTGGTTTGGTGTGTGTGCGTGTGCATGAGCCTGCATACAGATTGGAAGGGAAGGCGGTCGACAGTCGATCGATGGTCAGGGTAGGCATACCACACCGTGGATGACTTGACCGCCGAGTTTGACGTTATCGTGCCGATTCAAAGGTCGAGTTGGAAGGGGGGTTGGGGAGTCCTACGTACATTGTGCGCACGAGGGACTGGAGACCACTGCGATGTCTTGTCATGTTTTGGATCCAGTCAGCGTGACATGGCATGACTGATGTGATGTGCTGTCATGTATTCCATCCTGTAATGATACCGGGATGTTCATCTATTTGAGTTCTGCTGCTATATACCCATTCTTGAACGCATGCAAAAACAATGCCTACATATCTCTCACAATCATGCCTCCTTGTGCACAGACTCACCCACGTACAACGCCGCCCATAGTCATCGAACCGCCTCAGTCTTGTACTCGACTTTCCTCATCTGCCACCATCCCAATCAACACATCGTCCAGTCGTTGCTGGTATTTCTCCTCCACAGCCAGATCAGCACCCGCGAGGATCAGATACTTCGCAATCTCGGTGTTGCCAAAGAACAAAGCCGCCTGTAACGCCGAACCATACCGCCCACCGGGGACATTGACGTCAGCTCCCATCTGCACGAAATACTCGACAACTTCCTTGGTGTCAACGGGAGCCGTAGCTGCTGCTTGGAGAGCCGTGCCGTAGTATCCTCCCCTGGCGTTCAAGTTCGACCCTGCTTCGATCAGAAATTGCAGTACTGCCTTCTGCGGCTTCGGGGACGAAGCTGCCCCTTGCATTGCTGTGCCGCGACATACTCCTTTGACGTTATCGTCGATGGCATTGATGTCTGCTCCTTGGTCCAAAAGGCGACGGATGACTGGCATGTGACCGCGCGCCGCGGCTGCAAAGATCGATGTGTGGCTTCTAGCACAGTCCTTCTCTAACGCAGAACCCACCTGTTCACCTTTCACCTGATGCAGCATATACTTCTCCCGGCAAGTCAATGGACAATCACACTCAGTAACCGCGGCTTTGGATGCACCTCCGAGGCGCAAGTGTCTTCTGACAGCGTCCATCAAGAAGTACTTGCTTCTAAAGACCGGTTCGTCAAGGAACCCTGTCCCGGTCTTCCTCCACACGCCTTGCTCGGTCTTGTCGAGGAAATGGATCACCGGAGTGCCGACCCAGGTGCCGTCGCCGTGTTGGGGATCACGCTGGAGATCTTGTGCTGGGCCTACCATCATGACAACGGAACCTAAATTGCCTCTGTATTTGCAGGTGGCGACAAATTGGTGGAATGGAGACGAGAGTCGCAGCTGGACATTGGAGAACAATCGATCTTTCTTGTCCACGCGAGGTCTTGAAGCTTCGACTTCAAAGAGTCTGGCACAGACGAGATGGCCATCGGTAGCCTTGCCGGTGGATTTGATAACCACGTCGAACTGTTCGCAGCAGAATTCTGAACATATCAGCTCGGAGGCTCGCCTGAACTTCCCGTCGATCGCATATGTAGGCATGAAGTGCGATGTGAACGTCGGCAAGCTTGGGATCAGTCCAGATTCGGGATAAACGGGCATGTCATACGAAACCGTCAGCCATCCAGGTATTGGACTTTTGTCGACAAGCTCGAAAAGCAGATCTTTGGTGGTTCGTTTATAATCGACGTCAACAACGACCCCCAAGACATGCATCATGCTGAATATCAAGTCTTGTGGCTCCGTCGACGTGCGAAGCCATATGTTCCGCCACGCAGCTTGCGCGACACCTACCGCGCTACTGGGATAGTCATAGTGGATGTCAAAGTATGCACGGGTCTGCTCAGACATGGGCAACTCCTTAAAGGGTAGAATGCTCTTCCCAGTATAACCCTTCATTTCCTTTTCGTCATCTGAGTCTATGTCCGTCGCAGTGGTCGACAGAGTCCCAGGCATACGATTAAAGCCCAATCCGCTGTCGAAGCCTTGAGAAGGGGAGAGCGGAGTATCCCAGTGCTGAAGATAATATTCTACCACATTGTGGCCGGCTGGAAGGTAGCTTCCTTCGTGCGAGATTGTTTCGTCATCGAATGCGTTGCCACTGTCCGTGTCCTCGGACGGCCGCTGAATAGAATTGAATTCCTCAAGTTGTGCGTCTAGATCGAAGTCTGACTGTGAACCGGACTGACGTTTCACCGTGTCGTGTGCCGGCAGTCGAGAATCTGAATCAGAGGCAGACTCTGGACTGGAGGGACGATTGTCAGTGTTGAGTGCCCGGAATCGGGTATCTAAACCAAGGTCAGAGTCTGAACGGGTGTCGCTGTCGCTGTCACCGTCGGCGATAGACTCATCTCCCGTCCTAGGCCCGAAGCCAAGATCGGGTAGTGTTTGCCGCAGGCTCACAGCGAGGGAGGTCAACGCTGTTTGATCAAGCCCTAGGCAGTTGAAATTTTGACGCAGTTTGTATCTACAATACGTGAGCCCTGTCTTGGGATCGTACAGCATGCCGGCTCCAAACTTCCGACCGACCAACGGGCCGGACCCTATCAGATCGTCCAAGCGAACAAGCGCGATGCTGCCGCCGAGAATGTCGAACGAGAGATTGACTTCATCTGCAGTCCACGAGTCCGGGTGGTTCCAGTGGACCAAGACATGGGCATCGGGGCCGAGAATAGCTTCTTGGAAAGTCCATGATCTCTGCATGTATGCTGAGGGACGATCTAGACTCTGCGCAGCGTGGACACCCCCAATCATGATCAGGGTCGTCGACGCGTTACTGAAGATCCTGGCCATATTCGGGATCTGAAGTACTTTGTCCTTTGGGCTTGTCTGGTCGATACAGAGCAGATCCAGCCAGATGTACTCGCAACGAGAGTATTGAGCCGCGGTGGCGGCTTGCACCAGGCCCAGCCAGCTGATTGTATGGAAGGTACCATTTCGAAGCTTCACTCTGAGAGGCCGATTCGCCTGGTTGCTCCTCCTAGCGGCGTCCTCACTCGGTTGCCAGACGTGGGAGATCGCGCAATAGCGCGGCATGTTTGGGGGAGGGTTTGTAGGATGAAAGTCATCGAGGCCGTCATGCGGGAAATCAAGACCAGTCCATTCTGACAGAACGAGCTCTGGATTGTCTTTACGCAGCAGCGATGAAACTGAGATCAGGCGAAAGAGGCCATCCGTCGCACGACCCTCATAGGACCACGCGGGTCTCTCGTTCTCAGAGTTGCGAAGCAGCGTCCATGCTACACCCGGCGTCTGCGTCTGTTGGGCCATGACGTCGAGGAGGGCGACTTTTACTGCTTCCTGTGGTACCGTGAGAGGAAAGTGACCGTTTGAACAGGCCTCTTGCTATTAGCTGTACGTGATATGGTTTTGGGCGCCGTAGCAGTGCTGGAGCATGTGCGTGTGCACATTATCGAGAACGCTGAAGCGCCCATCTTCTCTACCAAAAAATAGCTTCGCCGTGGCGTTGGTCGCTTTGCTCGGGATACGAGAACGCGTCTCGAGCCTAGAACCAGGCTGCATGTTTCGAGGAGTTGAATGGCGATAACGAAGCGACGTGGCGTCAGGAACACGGCGGGAGTTATCGCCTGCAAAAAGAAGCTTTGCGGCAGGTTTCAAAGTATGTATGGAACACAACCAAAGGGGCACAGCTGTTACAGCTCGCAAGAGGCCACAAACAAATACGGAGAGCAGAAGGAAGATGGAAGTGAGGATCAGGGAATGGGAGAGTGACGACGGTGAAAATGTGAACTTCAGGTGAAACTGGTTCCAACGTGGCTGGTGGTACTTGCGATCTGGTGGTGACTCAGAGAAACTTCAAGTTCCTTCACCTTCACCCTCACTTTACCTTCATCGACGCGGTTGTACTCGGCATTTGCAGTGTTTACCTGGCCTCAGGTCACTGGCAGACTTTTCTTTCGTAGTGTGCTCTATTCTTTTATAGGTACTTATGCTATATCGGACGGGCAGGAAAGTAGCTGCTCTTCGTCCAGCGTCATTCAATCTATTCACACAAACATTGAAACATCCTCTTCCTTGGGACCGCCTTTTGTTTCGCCGTCCTGCTACTCTTTCTTTTCTTTGGCATCATCCGACTGCGCCTGCGCTCCCTTCTTCGCCTTCTCTCTTTTCTCCCTGGCGTATCTCAAACTTCTCGACCAGCCTGCAGTGATGGGTCCTTTCAGGCTTTGCATGAAACTCGGCCACCTGACTGTATGCTCGATTACCTGTTTGACCTCCTCTCTTAGTCCACCGCCTTCCGTGTCTTGTGCGATGCGTTGCTCAAACGGCCCACCCTCTCGTCGCCGAATTCGATCCGGATCCTCGTCTTTGGTCTCCTCGAGCATCTTGTTAAACTCTCCTCTCGGGATCTTGAATTTGGACTGGTATTCGAAGTATAACTTGTGCCGGAAGGCATTGGGTAAGCGCCGAACCATGTGGCCTCGAGTTACCGGATCCATGTTTTGGGCGAGTTTTGCATTCACATTTGGATCATTGAGCCAGTCGCGGTCCGAGCAGGCAGGATCATTAAAGGTGATATTTGGGAGGTTATCAATCAGCGGAGCGTAGAGACGGCGGAAGTTTGGTAGCTGATGAGTAACAATGTTCTGCACTTTGCGGGGATCGTCACCACCAATTGTCATCCGGGGGTCGCCCATATACGAAATTCCGGCAATTGTCGAGTAGAGTTCTTTCTCGGTGAACTCAGGTGGTAGGAGAAGAAGCGCAGTACGGACGGCGGCGATCAAATTGACTTGATTGGCTAGTCGGACGGCCGGATTGTCTCGTAGAATTTTGACGGGCTTCTGAAGTCGGCCGGCCAGGTAGAGGGTATCCCACTCTGACAGATCTCTGCATAGAGTATCCAGATTGACCACGCCATACTTGATCAGAGTCCCGTTGACCGTAATGTAAGGGTTGAAGTATACGCCTGCCCCGATAGAGTCTTGGATTTTAGTGACAGCATAAGATCCCAAAGAGCCCACCCAGGAGTAATGGTCTCGATTGTCTTGGAGGTTCAGCGAATGCCAATGCTGGGTGTACGAAACCCCGAAAATGAAATCAATCATCTTCTGGTTCCCATCCTGAACTTTCGCAACGGCCTCTGGTGGATTGGGATGTAGCTTCGAACTTCCTCCGCTTCCGCTTCCTCCCGAGCTTTGAGGGAAGACTCCGGAGCCATATGCGAATGCGTAGCGAATTGGCGCCCGGAATTTCCACAGTATTTGTCTCAATGCCTCCTTAAACTCCTCATTTATGATGATGTGCTGATTGACACCAAAGTCCCTGCTTGGCAGCTCGGAGAACTTGGATATGCTAAGATCGGGGTTTTCCTCCCAGTCAGTCGTACCAGATGTGGTAGAGGAGGGTTTAGAGGAGCCGTCGGCTGAGAGCTTCTTGTCGGGGGACCTGGAGTTGTTGGTGGGGGACGACTGCTTCGACGGATTTTCGTTGGGACTGTGTTTTGCTTTGCCTGCATCAAATCCGGGGGGTGGTCCGTCCGACCTTGCTCTATCTTCTTCTACTGTGGCGTAGAATCGGATGCCAGTGCTGAGAGGCAAGCGCCGGATGGTCGATACCAAGGGGAACCCATAGAGCTCCGTGAGTCCCCGCTTGCCCAACACGCTGGGCACAACCCGCAAGGTCATGGTGTAGTAAGAAAGGTCCTTTGCCGCGGAGCAGCCACCATTTCGTCCCAGATAACGGCCGCAACGATGCTTCCCGTTCAGTTGAGGTTGGGAGGAGAAGCTGGCTGACTGCGTCAGTGTTGAGTAAATCGGGAGTGGAAACTGAGCCGAAGCAATTGCGTCACGTGCCAAGCCGCAACGCGGTCCAATCCATCTTCGGCAACATCAACAAACACAGCCGATTCGAATGCGATCAATAGCACACTGTCGGCACAAACAACACATTTGACGATATAGCGATCATGGAATACGCAACCCTCGAGTCGCGTCTGGCGACATTCGAACCACCGACCAAACGCTCTAAAATCGGCTGGCCGCACAAAACACCCACCCCGGAAGAAGTCGCCCGGGCAGGCTTCTACTACAAACCCTCGAAATCCAGCAATGATAACACCATCTGCTATCTCTGCGAAAGCCAGCTCGGTGGATGGGAGCCCGATGATGACCCGGTCGAAGAGCACTTGAAGCACTCGCCACAGTGCGGGTGGGCGATATTGATGAACGCGTCGCAAGAAGCGAAGCAACACACCGAGACCATGGAAGATCCCACAGGGCAACTCCTCGCAGATGCACGGCGGGCAACTTTTGCGGCTGGCTGGCCACATGAGTCAAAGCGAGCATGGAAATGCAAGATAGAGAGAATGGTCGAAGCGGGGTGGCATTTTGCACCAGTTGCAGAGGGCGAGGATTATGTGTCCTGCGCTTACTGCAAGTTATCTCTCGATGGCTGGGAACCGAAAGACGACCCTTTCGAAGAACACTATAAAAGATCGCCAGATTGTGTTTTCTTCCAGTTCGCAGGGAATACCGCACCGACTAAGCGCCCAAAAGCGAAGAAGGGACGCGCGTCGAGGGCGTCGAGATCATCGAAGGCATCGACGCGGTTATCAACACAGTCAAGCTCGCAAGATGTGACTAGCTTGTCTGAGGCTCCTAGTGTCGCTCTCGAGGATATTCCCGATCTGGAGGACTCCATCGACGAGGGTGAGATGTCTACGATGTCCGTCGTGTCCGTCATTTCAACGGCATCGACAGCAACCACGAAAGCCAAGCGGAAAGGCGCAGGTGGCCGGTCAAAGACGGCAAAGTCGAAGAAAGCCAAGACCACGCGATCCACAAAGACGAAGAAGGAAGATTCTCAACCTGAAATTGAACTCGAAGTGCAGCCCGAGCTAGTACAGGAGATACCAGAGACTTCGAAAGGCGTCGTGGTCGAGTCTGTACCGTTACAGGCAGAAGAGGTCTATCGAACGCCAGAAACCGAAGAGCGAGAGGAGCAAGTTGTGCCTGGTCCTGCGCCTACTCCCTCCGCAGAAGTCGCATACCCGACCATTCCCCTAAAGAACACTCCACCCAGGATATCAAACTCACCGCGGCATTTAAGCCCCGTCGCCGCACAAGATCAGTCACCTACGCCGATAAAACCACGATCAAATCGTTCATCGCTAGCCTCGGCCCAGAAATCAACCCCCAAGTCAGCAACAACAAAATCACACCTACAGCCAAAATCCGCCACCGCCCGTTCATCTTCACGAACCCAACCGCAAAGTCAACAGGCCGATAACCTCTCCCCTTCGCCTTCTCCCTCGCCAGCAACATCCGACCTAGAGAACGCGCCTCCTTCCACGCGCTCTCCACGGTCACGCCCTCCAATCGCGACATCCTCGATCTCGCCGCTTCCTCCCAACCCGAAACTCAACGTGACGAGCACTTCTTCCTCTCCTCCCAAGACGCTCATGCCCCATTGGACGCCCGCAGACGTGGAGCTGATCTTTGCGCATACCACGCCCGCACGCGCCGAGTGCGAGGTTCTCCTCGCTCTGACGGGCTCGCAGCTCTCAAGCCCGGAGAAGGATATGACGGTGCAGGAGTGGATCGAGTTCATCGCCGCGCGGGCAGAGGAGGGGCTGCGTACTGAGGCCGAGCGCGTGGTGAGCGTGTTTGAGCGCGAGGGTCAGCGCGCCATGGGCGTGTTGGAGGCGATTCCTTGTGTATGATCACCGGAGAGATGAGAAGGATAGCCGGTTGGTATGGTGGAGACGGCACGATTAGAGAAAGGAAGTTTCACGTAGAATCTGAGTGTGATGACGGCGGTGGAACGTGTTACTTAGGTATTATTAGGCATTACCTTAGCGAAGGATAAGGACAGGCGTGGGTGTAGGGTGTATCGACAACTGTTCTCCTACCTTTTGGCGCTGTTGGATCCATTACAGTACCGTGTGTTTACGAGTCTTGGACTGCGGCTGGGCTCGCGTCTATTAGACTTCTAGCAACGTCTTGTTTCGTACACGGGAAGAGGATTTCTTGGAATGTCGATTAGATGTTCTTCGCCCGGACGACCAGGCTGGTTGGGGATAGAGGAATAGATTCCTCCGACATGTGAACAGAAGACAGTACAGTACGCCTGACTTTCTTTTCCTTTTTCCTTTTCTTCTTCTTCTTCTTGCCTTCTTCTTGGCCTTTCCTAGCATGCTGGACGTCCTTACTCTTGTAGACGAGCGAGCCTTTAGGCAGGACATTCCGCGTTTCGGGCTTTTAATCAAGCAATTTCAACAGCGATTCGGGGTCAATCCATACTTTTGAAATCATCGGACTACGGTATGTTGGGAGTAAGTATTTGACGTGTTCGCGTGGGCGATCACTTGCAGCGCAGCGCCATCCACCGTGGCCGCAGCGCAAGCCTACTCGTACTGAAAACCGGGCGATATTCAGACCACGCGGGGGAGAGATCGCCAGTACGTACTTCGGACACTGTCAGGACGGGATGGAACGCAAGTTCTTGATGTGCTTCAATTCATTCCATTCCATTTTCATTTCATGCCACGATTTAACCTTCCCACGGCTCTGGCTGGGAGGGTACTGTGTCAGGGTGAATGTGGACGCCGCATGCTGGATCACTCAAACTGCCCGACCAAACACGGCGCACGCTGCCCGCTGCCCGTACGAAAATCTCAGACGGCAATGTCCGCGCCGACAAAGTCCTTCTCTTCTATCAGTTGGTTTTTGGGCTTGGTGCTCGTCCCTTGCATCGCGGCATCGAGGCTGCGGTAGTTGGCCAGTTCTTGCATCTTGGCTAGGTTCGCGCAACATGTTAGTTTCTCCACCTCGGGCACGTAACGCGGTATTGGCGTGTACTTACTCTCGCTGACCGGGCTGGTCATGAAGATGGCCTTCTCCCGCTCCCCTAAGCTGGGGTAGATGCCCTCGTTGATCAACATCTCGGCCAGGCTGCGTCGATTGGAGTCGTTGCCCTTGCCCTGCGAAACCAACTCTTGTCTCGCCTTCTCGAGGCATTCTCGGTAGTAGTCGGCGTGGTTGATGTTGCAGACTTGATCCCAGTTCACGGACTTGTGGATCGGGCAGAAGTGGCGTGAGCAGAGCAAGCAGGTCTCGAGGAATTTGGTCGTGGGCGAGAAGTCGCCCGGGTTTTGCTCGTCACACAGGTAACATTGCTTGACGAGGGCCGGTTTCTGCGCTCGCTGACGTGGTTGTTCTTTGGGGGGCTCTGTCCGAGGGGCGGAGACTGTCGAGGTTGGCGCGCCGGGAGTGTTAATGACAATCGTCGGTGGTGGTGGTGCTGAGGATGCGGTCGACATCTTGCGGAGGAGGTCTGTAGGAGAGCCGAACAGCTGCTCAAGAGGAAGTATTTTGGTAGCTTTGCCTCAGAGGGTAACGAGATCTGCGCTGCTTTTTATGCACCGAAGATTCTCGTAGAAAACCGAGCAAATGAAGGCTGTTCCGTGTGTTTTGTACAGAAGTGCAACCTGGCCAGAAAATACGAGGTTGTGGAAGGCCTGAGAAGATGGGTACCGGTTCTGGGCTGTGTCGAGTCAACGGTATCTTACTCTTTCACTGAGGCGGGTGATGGGAGGCACAAGAATGGCTTGAAGTCAGCTGCAGGCCAGCCTTTTATTCGATCCCCGGGTCTCTCGACGGTCGCCTCCTTGCTGCTCAGTGCAGGGTCAGAGGGTGTTCAGCTTGTTGACACGACCCCTCGGGCCCCGCACTGCTCGGTGGCTCAAGCGCCAGACCCATACGAGTACCCAGTACCCAGTAAATCCTACCTTACGAATGTGGCTTGCCAAGGGCAATTGTTGGTGAAGCAGGCGGCATTCAGCCTGTCGCTCGCTCAGAGAAAAGAGGAATGGTTCACCTTACGCGGCCGCGACGGTTGGAGTTTCGTTCGGTGCCCGAGCGAAGGAAGCGAAAGAGCCAAGCGACTGACGCATGGGACAAGGCTTAGGCGTCCGCGCGAGAAGCAGCCAGTGCGCAAGCTCAGGCGCAGGAGAATATACCATTGGCGCCAGAGCAGGGGCAGGACCCTGATAGACAGGGGCCCTCAAGGGAACAATGGGGCAGCTTTGGCCTTTGCTCACTGTCAGAACTCTCACTGATTGGCAGATGGGGCGCAGGAGGGCGCAGGCGGCGTCGGCGGTTACGTGCCTCCGACTCGCCGTGAGATCAGATCTGATCAAAGCTTCACCTTCAATGTTTGTGGTGGCTTCCTTGCTCAACCGTGTCCAACGCTGACGTCGACAGCCTGGTGATCAGCAGGCACCACGACGCATCATGGAAAATCCCTTTCCTGAAGAATGCACTTTGTCAATAGCTCGCAGATAGCCTGCGGTGCTTTCGTCATTGCGATCTCAAACAGTTGCGTGTCGCCAAGCTCCTGTCATTCTCGAGAAAATGTGACGAGACAGACGTGCCAGCTGTTTGGAGACTCTAAGGCGCTACCCAATCCACCTTCGTCGCAGACTTGTTTGAGCTTCGACGCTCAGTCTCTTTCGCAGACTGTGATGAAAGGTGCTACAACGCCTGCAGGTGTTAATTCGGTTATACGACACGACGAGAATCATCACGGAGACTCAACTCACCACTCAGGAATAACCTGCCCGTCTTGGCATCATGAATACAAGTCGTCGTACCCGGCAGAAGCACCCCTTCGGCATCTTCAATGACTTTTGTCAATTCATACTTGTACTTGTCCGCCACGTTCCCGTTCAACCTCCTGATTCGCCATACCGCGGCAGGTGCGCTCTTTGGGTTCAAAGGATCTTCGAAAGCAGCCAGCGCTTGCATACCCTTGGGCAAGGCGGCGGCGTAGATGTCCCCTATGCTGTCCTCGGACAGGTTGTCAATGGGATAATCCAGGTCGATGAAATGGACCCGAAGCACTGAACCATCGGGCTTCGGTCTGAACACGGTTATGCCTCCTATAGCCGCACTGGGCACATAGAGGAGTCCGTCGCTGCTATAATGCAGGCCATTGGGGAATTTGAAGCCATGAGCAACTTTCTTGCACGCGCCAGCTGACGAGCAGTAGGAGACGTCGCCCGTCCCAATGAAACTGGACAAATGGTGTTGCTTCGGCCGAATTAACCACAAAGCTAGGACTTTCAGGACTTTCACTTACCCAGCCGACCTTGTGAGGCCCATGATCGTTCGTAAAGAAGAACCCACCATCTTCTGCCACAGCAACGTTGTTCGGGGTCGCAATCTGTGAGTCAGCATATGTCCGCAGGTGTACCATGCTATCGGACCCCCGCGGAATTTCAAACACCTCAATCGTCGAATTTGCGCCGGCAGCAGCATTGTCGAGCAGTTCTCCTGTCTGCGTGTTGACCGAGGGTTTTGCATTGACCAGCCAAATCTGGGTCTTGGACCCATCGGCTGAAGTCGTGCCGGTCATTCCTACGACGTGCATTCGCCCGTCGCCATGTACACCAGCAAAACCCGGTGTCTTCAGAACGCGGTAAGCATATCCTCCTTGCCGGTTCGGGTGGTCGATATCCATGGCCACGACATGGTCATTCAGCGCTCTCCCTGACGCATTGAGCCGATGAATGCTTTGTTATTCTCAGCAATGAGCCCACATTCAGCTGGCAGACTTACTTTGGCATCCACTGCTTTCTCGCCGACGAGTCCGAGCACGCCAAATACAATGTCCTGGACTTCTGGTCCAGCCACATGTCTTCGCAAGCTTGAATAATGGGGTCTCCACTTATGCGATGGCATCTGTATGGAAAGTCTGAGATTGGCTGTACTTTGCGGCCAAGCCCTGCACCATTGTAGATGGCATCGCGGAGGACGAGTTGCCAAAAGATGGCCCCAAATCCGAAGAGGATGGCTAGCAGGGCAGGTTTATTGGCCATCGTTGTTTGGTCCACCCGGTGCTACGACTTTCTCAAGGTCAACAATGCGGCTACCCAGTCAGCTCAATTATCTGGCATGGCATTAGCCGAGATCTTATGGTCAATTGTCTCCGTCCGCCGACAATGCGATGGTCAATCTCACTTGGTCCAAAGCATGTGGCGGTCATCTGTCTGCAAACACATATAAAATCAAGGTACCCTAGGTACTCTCGATGCATCTCCGTCGGCATGCGTGCTTTAGACCTCGCTTGTGCAATCGCCTTCCGGCCAAGCATAGTTAGCCGGTCGAGGTACTCCGTACCTTTGTTTGATATCCGGAATTGAAATCCAAACTGAGCCGAGGATGTTTGGACCCCACATTCTCCCCCACAGTTGAGGCTGACCCCTCCCAAGTGCCCCGCGCGTATTGCGTACGAGTACGCCGTATACATTACAAACAGGCTGAGGTGAACTCGACCATTTGAGAGCAAGTGTCCGGGCAAGCACGTCTTGGGTGGACCCCTTAGCCAGCGGAAGAGAGCAGCGACAGGCTATGAAGAGCAGCACACTCTGAGAAGAACAACGAGACAGGCACCTCGCTGTTTCAAAACGCTCTAATGGTGAACCGAGAAATAGGAGAAAAGCCATGAGTTCGAGAACCAAGCGACACTGACAATCACTCCAGCTTGACCGGGCTGAGCAGGGAAGAACGCACCGTGGGCGTGATGCGTTGAAGAGTAACAGAGTAATATCTGAGTCACATACAAGAACAGTGGATTTCCTTTTCGAGTTCATAGCAATGACATATGAATTTATAACAATCAAGCCGCTTCGACAAGAGAAAGCGAAGAGCACGCCCGTCTTCATTTTCATCCAATTCTGCTCTCGCTTCGTCGACAGCCCCTTTCTGGTGCAGAGCGCTGCTCATTCAGCAAGCACCCTTTCAAAACATCCATCTACTTCAAATACTCGTCGCCAATCTCTTGAATCATAACATCAAACATGGGCTTCGCGCTGAACCAGCCGGCCCTGGGCGTGCCCACACTCTTATACGTGAACGCCGCATCCTCTTCATCGATCTTGATGGTCTCACCACCTCGGCCTGCAGCGGCCGCGTCGGCCATCAGCTGCGCGTGGCAGCACTTCTCGAGACTGACAAACCAAAACAGCGCGGCCTCGATGGTCTGTCCGCACGTCAACAGGCCGTGGTTCTGCAACAGGCAGGCCTTCTTGTTTCCGATCGCACGCGCAATGTTCTCGCCTTCTTCTTTCGCGAGGACCACGCCTTTGAACTGCTTGTACACGGCCAGGTCGTTGTAAAAGGCGCAGGAGTCCTGCGTGATGATGTCGATGGGGCGGCCCAGGGCGCAGAAGGCCCGGCCGTAGATGCTGTGGCTGTGGGCGGCGCACATGACGTCCGGTCGAGCCTTGTGCACGGCGGCGTGGATCATGTAGGCTGCTTGGTTGAGGAGTCTGTTCGGCCCGCCGTCGATGACCTTGCCCTCGTGGTCGACGAGGATGAGGTCGGAGCTTTTGATCTGCGAAAAGGCCAGGCCGAAGGGGTTGACCCAGAAGGTGTGTGGGTCGACGGGGTCGCGCAGCGTGATGTGTCCCGCGACGCCCTCGTCGAAGCCATACTTGCCGAAGAGGCGGAACGCCAGTGCGAGCCGGCCTTTCAGGTATGCTCTCTCTTCGTACTTGTCGGTGAAGCGTGGTGGGGAGGGGAATTTTTGCATCTGGGCTTGGGCTCCGTGCTGGGTCAACTTGGGTTCGTTGGGGGCCGTGCCTTCTGGTTGCCCGTCTGCGGTGTCGAAGCCCGGTTCAGGGCCCGTGGGGTTCGTCTCTTCATAGGTGTACGTCGCTGTGGGGGGAGCCATGGTGGTGGTGGTGGTGGTGGTGGTGATGACGGCAGTGATGAGTGTCTTGACTGGTAAAGGACAGGTCGGCAGCAACTGAAAGAGTGGCTGGATGAGTGTGAGCTTTGTCAAATAGTTTCAGGACAGAAGTTCAGGCCAAATGACGATTACGGGCAGTCCTCTGATATATGGTTCTCCAAGTACGGGCAACCAGTGTGAAGTGGCGAAAAGTCATCCTCGATATCCTGTCCTCGGCCTCGGATTTGTGACCTTCCAAAGCCTTTTCCCCACCAAGTTTCTCCCTCTTCCAATCCTTCGCATCATAGGGCGCTCTCCTCCGCAAGGAACCCGTCGAAGCTTTGATGGAGTTTACTGCGGGGATGATTGCACGATGAGAGTTGCAAGGCGGCCCATTGGCTCGTCGGACAATAGGCCGAGTCTACCGAATTTGGATGTCGGACAACGATAAGAGAAAGCGGGCGGCTTTTTGTATTCATCACAGCGGAAACCCCGTCTTTTCTTTGGACAGTCAACAAGTTTGAACCGAAAGAGTGGCTGTTCCGAAAATGTCGGCGAGAAGGCTTACGTACGCGGCCAAGGAGCCGTCGAGAGGGGCTCATGGTTTGTGCGGCGCAGGTAATCACGACACCAAGCCATTCATAATTCGATGGAATATACTATCAAATACTCTGTACCATTACTTGCGGCAATGTCAACGTGCCATTCGACCACTTCCACTTTCCTGAGAAGAGCCGATCATTGAGGCGACCGGCCGAGAGTTCCTGAGGCGGTTACAAACCATCTAACCCTGCTAGCACTAAAGCAGAGTCTTACCTCTGGGTAAGCTGTCAGCAGGATTCGTAGATGGGATGAAGGACTTAGCAGACATGTGATCGAGGGGTTCATGACGAACATATTATATATCTGCGCGTATGGCAGTTCTTCTGGGAGTAGATGCTAGAGACCTTGGCCTCGCTCGAAGGCCTCGCCTGCGGGCCAATGACACGGTGTAGATTGAACGAGTCTCTGTGGGAGTATATGTTTGGCTAGTGAGAGCCGCCGTCATGAAGTAGCGCCAATGCGAATAAGTCTGGGTCCCAATACAGACGACCACCTCCGACATCAATATTGACCGAATTCTCGTATGCGAAGAGGAGGAGGTGCTTGTGTCTGGCTAAGTTGAACGTTGATGTCGAACTAAGGCATTTGTATGAGCAAGGTTTCATCGGGATCAGGTTTCTAAGTGAGCGTTGTGGCAACACACTAGCTTGTATGGTCACGGTCAGTAGGCGACGCAACTCACATCTTGAGATGAAAGTTCTTGCCTGTACTCCGTACTCTTGTATGAATGGAGTGCTCCTCCAGATTAAGCTGGTGCTTATACTCCGTGCTATGCATCGTACATTAGCCATCTGCCCCTATCGGACGAAAAAGGCTAGTGCATCGGGAAAGGGACAGGCCCACCTTTCTAGCGTCCAATCGTCGCCGCTGTTTCGGTTCTCATGGAAATTTTGGATCGCAGGATATTCTCGACTGGACCATCACATCTCAATCGCGTTCTTTCTGCATCTTGACCGCTTCGTTCCTTGTTTAATCTTGCCTTCTATCTTGAGAGCATTGCAATTGCTAGAAAGCGAGAGTAGACTTGTCTTTTCTTCTCAGCCATCATGTATGGCGCCGCCCGGCATGGGCGATATGCTCTAAGGGCAATCCGATCTCTCCCTTCAGCTTCACAACTCTCCGTCCGAACACAACTTGTACCTTCCAGATTCCGATCGATCGCAAGACCTATTGGGGTCAGCCACTTCTCGTCCAAGTCGCAATATCTACAACAAGCACACGCTTATGCTGAAGAAAATGCTCGCGCTGAAGATTTCGGCGCAGAGGACATTTCGGCCACCAAGCAGGAATTCACCAGCTTTCAAGAACTCGGTGATGCTGGCATCATCGATCAAAGAATCATCAACACACTCGTCAACCAGATGGGCATACACACAATGACAGAAGTCCAACGAATGACCATCAACGAATGTCTTGACGGCACGGATGTCATCGCCCAGGCTCGTACCGGAACGGGCAAGACTCTAGCTTTCCTCATGCCAATCGTCCAACGCATGCTCCGAGACCCTGCCTTCGGCCAGAAACAGCCCTCGATAGGTGATACAAGAGCCCTCATCATATCCCCGACACGAGAACTAGCCGAGCAGATTGGCGAGGAGGCAAAGAAGATTGTGCGAGGCACTGGTGTCCAAGTCCAACTGGCTGTCGGCGGCACCCAGAAAAACTTCCATCTCAAGTTGATGCAACGACAAGGCTGTCATATCCTGGTTGGCACGCCCGGAAGAGTCAAGGATCTGTTGTCCGATCCTTACAACGGGCTGAGCATGGAAAACATACAGACCTTCGTGCTGGACGAGGCTGATCGATTGCTCGATATTGGCTTTGCCGACGATATCAGGGAGATTCAGAGTTACATGCCGAAGCAGACGCGACAAGATCGTCAGACGCTGATGTTCTCCGCCACTATGCCTCGGACCGTCGTCGGTCTGGTTAGAGAGACCATGAAGCCCGACTTCAAGTTCGTCCGCACCGTCGACCCAGCCGAGGCCGCCACCCACGAATCTGTACCTCAACACATTGTTTTCTTGCCTGGTCTACAGAATCAACTCCCAGCTCTCACGGAAATCGCCTACAAAGCAATCCAGGCCCACAAACAAGATCCGGAGAACAACATGCCCTTCAAGGCCATCGCTTTCTTCCGATCACTCAACGAAGTCAAAATCGCATTCGAAACTCTCCGCAACTTCCGCGATCCTTCAGCAAGGGGTGGCCTCTTCGCGCCGCACCCGCTCGCGCCCTGCAAGATCATCGAAATGTCCTCCCAACTCGACCAGCGACAACGAACGGCCAACTCGCAGGCGTTCCGTCAGGCCGAGTCCGCAATCCTGGTCTCCTCCGACGTGACGGCTCGAGGCATGGATTTCCCCAACGTCTCCCATGTCATTCAAGTCGGCGCCCCACACAGACGAGAAGATTACGTACATCGACTAGGTCGGACGGGGCGCGCTGGAAAACCCGGCCAAGGCTGGCTTTTGCTCCAGAACGACGAGCGCAATGATTACAGGCAGTTGGCCAACTCAATCCATGCGAAGAATATCCGCGAAGACGATAGCCTCGAGACGGCCAAACTCGACATGACCCAACCAAGTCAGCTGTCAGCTCAAACCGCCAAGATCATGCAGATGGTCGAGTCCGGCGTGAAGCAGGTCTCTAGAGCCGACAAGGCGAGAGCGTACCAGAGCTTGTTATCTGTGCTCAACCAGGGCGGCAACTCATCGAAGCAGGAAATCGTCAACCAGGTCAACGAACTGGCCACTTACGGATGGGGCCTCGAAGCACCTCCCTCCGTGACGCGCTCATGGGCTGACAAGATCGGCTTTGGCGGCGTCCAGGGTCTGCAGCTCCGAGAAGAAACCGGCTTTGGGGGTCCTGCTCGCTTCGGTGGTGGTGGGAGGCGTCAAGTGTTTGATGAACGCGATCCCTTCGGCCAAGACGCTGGAGGCTCAGGAAGGGGCATGTATGGTGGTGGGCGATCGGGTGGTGGACGAGGAAGAGACAACTTTGGCGAGGGTGATGGATTTGGACGAGATAACCGCGGGTTCGGGCGAGGAGGCTTTGGTGGTGGACGATCATCGGGTGGCAGGGGTTTTGGCGGAGATCGAGGATCCCGTTAAAAGATGGTCGGCTCCGACTTCGAAATATGGTTAACGGAGCTCGAAAGTGAGAAACGCCCCAGCATGGGCGTAACATCGTTGCTCGTCCTGGACTTCGTTTGGGTCGCGGACGACGCCCATCCGGGAAACCGACGCCCCACCGTTGGCTCTGGCCGCACCGTCGCCGATCCGGGATGTCTTCGATCTCGCCCACAGCCTATGCCGACGGAACTGTATATGCAAGACTCAGCTCATTGCACTTCACTTCTCATGTGTCTTCTGCTGTCATTTGCATCGAAATGGAGATTTGGAGTTGTGGAGGGGAGTGTCTCAGACTGGTCTGATCTTGCAGGCCATGGCACGCACAGAAAAAGATATGAGCTATCATCTCGAGCCCCATTGGCACAGACAAAATAACCCTCTGTATGAATGGTCGGCGGCGACGAGGGTGGCATTGTGACGATATGTGTTTGTCCCGAAGTTTTCTTGGTCGGGAAAAACCGTGTACATTTAAAATCGAAAGTGTACAATTGCGATGTGTGAAAAAACGCTCTGCTCCCACGGCGCCTGTTCGGTGAAAACAGGGGGCCTCGCACAGGATGTGGAAAGGATGGAAGCGAAGGAATAATGGGGGAGAGGATGAAGTTGGGAAGGGGAATGTCTTCCGAGCCAGCGAGTTCAGCGAGATAGGATAGACTTCCGTCCTTCCTATGTGCGGACAGCACAGCACGGCACAGCACGAGGTACATAATGTTATTGAGAATCTCCTCTCACGATATGGCATTGTAGGAATCCGTACTATCGATGTCGACCTTCACTGTACATGGTACGGGTACTGCATGTAGTCCGACTGATTTAGTCGGGCTTGAATCAACTAGTACCTCCAGGTTACAAGCAGTGTCTGCTCACTTTCACTGTCATGTCCTGTGCTTGTCATATTTCTTACAAATCGGTTTTTGCAGGGTCTCACGTCGAACCCTGCCAGGCCTGCAGGACCTACTCTATGACGCGTGCGTCGGTATCTCCTTGCGAGGGCCTGACGTCCATCAAATGACAGCCATTGCTTGCAAGTGAGCCGTCCTAGTGCGAGCTTCGCCACTGCTTGATCTCCTGCTCGCTGATCTCTCGCAGCTGAGAGACCTCTGCAGTCTCGCCCGTGATTGCGCCCTTGACCATCTCGATGCCCCGTCCGACACTCCATCCCTTGGGTAGCGCGTACGTCGCCGTCAGGGCCTTGACTTTGATGATACCGATCCGGGGATCGTTCTCGCTTCCGTCGTGGACGCCGTCGCCTTGATCGCCCACCCAGGTCTTCAACGTGGGTGTGTAGTATTTCTTGACGGTGTCGCGGTCGGTGATGATGCTGGCGGTGCCGGAAATGGAGGCCCACGCGCCATTGGGCGTCAGGAAGGAGATGTTGACGTGCTCGTCCGAGTTGAGGTCGTCGGTCTTGCCGGACTCGGTGTTGGTGTGGAAGAGGTAGTCGACGCCGCCGGATTCCTTTGGAGAACGTTAGTATGGCTGTGTGCTTTCTCCCATGTCCGCGATTAATTCGGGACCATGAGGAGGTTGAGGAATGTTCGAGTGACATACCTGAGCTGCTACTGCCATACATCTTGACACTAGCAGTCCGGAGTCTGCGATGCGAGTGGTCATCATGCCGAACTTGGAAGATTTGACAAAGTCACTGAGGGCAGTGATCTTCTCCTCGGTGCCAGGCTCGTCCTTGTTCTTTTGAGTGTATCTGTCGGATCATGTCTTGTGTCAGCGTCTGGGGAAGCTCCTTCTTGAGGGGAGACCATTGTAGTGAAAAGTGGTATGACTTACGGATCTGAGGACGCCATGATGACTGTGTTGTTTGTGGTTGAGTGTGAGGTGATCAGAATCTGAAGTCGGGTCAAGGATGAGATCAAGAGATGAGAAAGAGTTTGAGAGTTTGAGTGCGAGTAAGGAAAAGATGAAGTGAATGAGAATCTCGAGCGAAGTTATGTGGAAGTCTCCCGGGAGAAAAAGTGACGTCGATGGGGTAGGAGATGGTACGAGGCACAACGCTCCGAGGGCAATCGCGTCAACCGTGGGGTAAGCGTGAAGTTTTTGATCATATTCACGAAGCTTTCACGCAACGATTGAGGGGCTCACAGCGGCCAGAGAAGATGATCCAGGTACAGGTGCGTCATTGATATGTGCGACTGCCGCTCGCGCCCAATCATAAATGGCTTCGTCTCTCCCTGTTTGTTTGCGAGTCTGAAAGGAGTTGTTTACCGGAGCCGTCTCGGCTGCCGGTTTGCATTGCTCAGCAGCGAGCCATGGTTCTTACACGTCGTGGTTGAAGAGATGTTGTTGCTTCGACTGACGAGGCTGACCGGATTGTGGTCCCACCCAATGACGTCAACACTCGCCCAAGTGGTGCAAGCCTCGCGAGGCCACCAAAGGCAGTTCAGGCTTCTTTCGCCGACGCCCGTGTTGCTACATGCTCAGTTCAACCTCAACTAGCGAGGAGGTAACAGTAGCCCAATGTAAAGCGGGTGAGCAGATGACGTTGGAGAAGTCGCTCGTGTGTTGAGCTCATCAAACCTGGGTCTGACCTGGTCATTCGGCCTGGACAGCGTAGACGAGATGACACCGCTTCCATGCTCCCTCCGACCAAGCCTTCGTTTTCGACGTGGCCAGTGCAGCTGAATACCACATAGCTCACGGACTCTTATTGACTGAAAGTACCGACGTAGGCGCGGTAGGGGTCGCGGGTTTTCTGGTCGCTGGAGTAGCATGCACATGTGGCAATCGGCGGGTTCTGGAGTCGTCCATAGCCTCGAACGAGCCTGGAGGCGTCGTTTTCCTGTCGCTGAGGTGTTCGGAGTTGCCTCAGTCAAACAGCAGGGAAAGTCATTCCATAATCTCGGTGTTGGTGATAGCCTCAGCTCGCCCACCAAGACATCGGGGGTGTTGTCGGGATGATCGCGAAAAATATGTTTTGCTCAGGAAATGATCCCCAGTCTCCCTTCCCACTCATCTTCCCTCTTGATGCCTCCATTCCTCTCCTCCTTCGCCGCCCTTCTCTTCTCATTCCTCTTCCGTCTCTTCTCCTCGCGCTCCGCCTCCTCCCTATCCTCGGCTTTCTTTATTCTTTCCTTGACATCCACTTCGCCAGCCAAGCGATCTTCCTCCTCCTGCTGTCGTTTCCTCGCTTTTAACATCTCCAGCCTCTCACGCACATCCTGCAGCGTCGCGCGTTTAACCTCCCCACTCTGCCCCGTATTCACTAAGTGCTGTTTCGAGTTTAGATGCTCAATGTACTGCACGTTGTCCTTATACGTCAAGTCACAGGCCTCGCAGTAGAAGCCCGCGCCCTTGCCTCGTTTGCCCACGCCTGCACCAGCGGGCACCAGCGTGGATTTCCCGACCATGCTCGCGACATCGAGTCTCGAACCTCTGGCGGAGGTGGACTCGAGGGTCGAGAAGTCCACGGGCTTGTGCCATTTCTTGCCTTCTAACTTGGCCTCGTAGCGTGCCTTTGCCTCTTCGCGGCGTTCTTGATCTTTTTGTTTGGCCTTTTCGGCGTACTCGGCGCGGTCCCACGTGCGGCGGAAGTCGGTGTCGCTGGCGGCCGTGGCGCCGTAGGCAGATTTGCGCTCGGCCATGATGTTGTCCGCCGGCTGTAGAGGGAGGAACGCTAATGAGAGCCGTAGCAGTGGAAGGTGTTGGTGAGAGGAATTCGGAGTTTTGTCCAGCCTGGGGACGGGATACGAGGATGGTCCAGAAATTCTCCGACTGCCTGCGTCATTTGAACCAGTTCCCGACATGCACCCGACATGTGCCTGAGGCGCAACTTCAGGCCTGTGAGACGTCCCCTCTCCCTCCGTCAAGACTGCCACCACCTGTGATGAGAAGCATGCCTAAATCATCTGTTCCCCTTTCACCACTACCGAGTGTCATAGTGGTCTCCTCTGAATAATGCAGGCTCTATGAGTGGCGTGGGAAAACATTTCACACTAGAAGTTGCCTGTGCCGGCTACGGTTTAAGGAAGTGAGCACCCACTCAGACATGCCAACTTCTGGTGCGGTGTCTGAAATTGCATTCCCGTCTGCAGCCAAGCGACTTCGGAGGTTGTCTTCCATCTGACCTAGCTGCCATTTGGGAAAGAATCTCATATTGGAATATTTGCAAGGCAGTCTCACTTCCTTAATGGTGGCTACCAAGTCAGATCTCCTATGAAGGATGTCTCAAAGAGTGTCTACCTCGAACTGCTTCAGCCACAGATGCTTCTATCCAAGAAGCTGCCATGCATTCTCTGGCTGGTGTGTCAGAGTCCTTGTTCAATGCTGAAGCGTCTGACATGCCCCCCAGAACCACGACTGCTTTCTTCCGCCCGTGCACGCGAGATTCCACCACCATAGCGTCGTTCAGCGAAGTGGCCCAGAAAACATGCATACATGGCTTGCCCAACCTTACTCCCATGTTGTGCCCGTCAAAGCAATCACGTGGCGCAGGTGATGCTTCGGAATGTGAGCATCTTGAAGCCTGGTTTGGTGGGATTGTTCATGTCGTAATAGTAACCGATCTTGACTGGAATGTCGGTGTCAGTCGGCGGAATAGCATGGATATTGACCACATTCAGGTTCGCGTTGACCGTGCCACTATCGCCAGGGAACATTGTTGGGCCGGTAACAATGAATTTGAAGTCGTGGTAGCCGTAGCCTTCAGGGGAGGTTGGTACAGGCCATTGAGGAGGGCACAGGTAGATGAAGTTGACCTTCTTATCGGAGATTCCCTGCGAGGTTGGAAGAGTGATGTACGTGTGGAGATATTTGCACAGTGGGCGAGCTTTGGTCTGATCACCAGCAGACTGCACGCTGATCGTCACATCCCACGTCGTTCCACAGGGTGCGCCAAACGGATGAGGAATGATGTCGTAAATGCCTTGCCCAGAAGTGCTGGCGAGCTCAGTGCTGTCGACGGTCGCATTGCGTGGAACGAGGCTGTAGCTGTCCGGGCCTTGAAGGAGCGGAATTGCTTTAGCGTCAGCCACGCGCAACAAGACAAGGGACAACGATGCAAGAGTGAGCTTCATCCTGGATTTGTGGTCGGTTTCTTTGGCTGTTTACAGGTGTGCGGGACAGCCGATGATTTGGACGGCCAGAACTGATTGATAGCGAAAGAAAGGGAAAGGTCAGAGACGCTGATACTTATCGTTCTGGAAGCTGACACTGCCACTGCCTCCTGCCCATGTGAATATTCGTGGTCGCAGTGATAAGGGTTTCAACTTCCTTCCGCTTCACTAACATCTAGCTTTCACTGCCCAAATTCGGTCAGCAAGATTGCAGTCGTAAATCACTGTCACGTAAGTGATATTCCTAACGACAGGCGGGCCTCAGAACTTCTTCTCTATCTTTGCGCCGCTCTGAGGTCGTGTGTGATATGCTTGGCTAAGGTAAGAGTCGATCCTAGAAAGAACAGATGCCCACTTGCCAGCATACTGTAATGTTCGCTCGAGACAGTCCTCAAGGGCTTGGACTTCCGCTTCATAGCCGAACGCATCCTGTACTTGCTGGAACCGGGGTGCGATGCCTGAACGGCACAGCCTGAGCGTCAATCGGTGTACATGATGAGCTCCTTTCCCGACCACTGCTGACGGTCCCGAACATTGGGCTGGTAGTGTGCTCTGCAACTGAGGGAAGCCTGGCGAGGCTCATAGGCCAAGCTTTGAGCAGCTGATATCCGGCACAGGCGTAACCTGCACGTCCATAGAGCAGAAAAACTGGTTGCTCACGCTTCATCCTCCAACCTTCATTTCTCTGCAAACACATGACAGGTTGATGCCTTTGGCGCTATCATGTTCAGTCGATGCGGAACGATGAGCTCAATGCGCTGGATTTCACCAGTAAGTACCGGTGCTACTCCAGCAGAAGCGCAGAGCACGGTTGTTCTGGTAACGTGTAAGGTTAAGCAGGGAGGCAGCTAAAAAGGGGTTCAGTGCAGAACGATATGCAGGTTTCGGCTTAGCAGTACGAAGTACGGAGCATAGTAAAAGCTTTCCACAGTTCTGGATAGTTGTGCTTGGGGGAGTCGGTGCCACCTAGGCGGGTGCCTAACCTGAAGGGTTGACCTGAATGACTAAGCCGCTCTCTGCGCTTTAGCGCATCATGCGCGTCGCTGCCCATGACGCCCGGTGCGGAGAAGAACGCTATATTTCGTTCTGGAGAAGTTGCGATCCAGCGACCCAGTCGATTTTTCGTTTTGACTGATTGAGCTCTGGGTGCACCACCAAAAGAAGATGGCGAAGAAACGGTCGCCCTTTGATCTGTCAAGATGCGCGAGGCCCAACATCCTCAAACTACAGCCTTACAGATGTGCTAGAGAGTAGGTGCCTTTTTTTTCAATCAAGGAACTCGGACGTCTGACTCATGACTCAAGTGACTACAAGGACAATGGGACGAACATCCTCCTTGACGCGAATGAAAACGCCTATGGTCCGGGCTTGGCACTCGATGGAAATGGTGTCAATGGTCGAGCCGAAGGTCCCGAGGCGAAATACCAGGTCGATTTCCTGGGGTTGAACAGATACCCTGATCCGCATCAAGTCGAACTAAAAGAGCTTTTCTGCAGACTGCGGAATACGCACACCCACACGGACAAGACACTGCGACCCGAGAATATGTTCTGTGGAGTGGGCTCCGATGAAGCCATCGACGCTCTGTTGCGGTGCTTCTGCGCACCTGGGAGAGATAAGATTTTGACCTGTCCGCCCACGTATGGCATGTACGCAGTCAGCGCAGACGTGAATGACATCGAGATTGTCCATGTGCCCCTTAATCCCGACGACGGGTTCTCCTTGCAAACACAGCGAATCTTGGACAAGCTCTCGCAGGATCCCTCAATCAAGATGGTATATATTTGCTCTCCAGGGAATCCTACGGCGAGGCTCATTCGCAAGGACGATATTCTACACGTCCTCCAGCATCCTACTTGGAATGGGGTAGTCATCGTCGACGAAGCATATATTGACTTCTCACCAGAAGGATCAAGTCTAGCCGAGTGGGTATTGGAGTGGCCCAACCTGGTAGTGATGCAGACGCTGAGCAAGGCATTCGGTCTGGCTGGCATACGACTGGGCGTGGCATTCAGCAGTCCGGAAATTGCGGCCTTACTCAACAACATGAAGGCGCCATATAACATTTCAAGTCCGACGAGTGCTATTGCAATAGCGGCGTTGCAGGAGAGCAACTTGAAGATCATGCGACAGAATCGGGAGAAGATCTTGCAGCAACGAGATAGACTGTTGCAGGAGCTACCACGAATACCGGGGATCGGGCGTTTCCGCGGAGGCACAGACTCGAATTTTTTGCTGGTTGAAATACTCGATAAGCCACAGGAACAAGGCGGAGAGCCAGACAATGTGACGGCTCTTACATTGTATGAAACTATGGCGGGGCAAAGGGGAGTGGTGGTGAGGTTTCGAGGCAAGGAATATGGCTGCAAGGGCTGCCTGCGGATCACAGTGGGCACCGAAACCGAGGTTGATCGGTTTCTGGCAGAGGTCAGATCTGTCTTGACTCAGATCTATTCAGGCTCATTACAAGGCGGTCAGGTCAACGGACAAAACAAGCGCGAGGCAGAAGCAAGCAAGGTGATATCATAGTAGAATTAGAGGCGATAGACGGCACCTAGGCAGATCTCGGGCGTGGCTGAAATCTCCATGTGGCCTCCCTCGTCCATAAGCGGGAACAGCCTTCCTGCCCTCCCCTCCCCCTTCCCCTGCCTCGACTGCTTAAACTTCTGGCCTATGCCTAAAACCGACACAAAAGAAACAACACCCTCTGCCTGCACCTGTCACACCGTGCCAACACAGCAGCGAACACACCCAATCCACGAGCACAATTCTCCGCCACTCTCACGCTCGTCTGCAGATCTGCACCGATTTGCCTTGCAGCCTGATTCCGAGTAGCCTCAGGAAGGGCCGCAGGGACCCTAGATCTGTTGGCGGTCGTCCCATTTTTCCCGCCTTGCGTGTGCCTCAGGATAGCCCAGGCGGCAGACCAATCGCGACGGACTGTGCCTGCAATTGAGCGAATGGTCATGAAGTGAAGGGACAGCTGCTCGCTACAGTCACTCGGTGTGACACCCTGCAGCTTGATCTCATCATCTGCCTCACCTCCACTGCATTTGCTTCTCCCTACCGGCGACACTCTTGCGCGACAACGCTTTACCCGTCCTACTCTTGGCTGCACCGAGCACGGTCAGGTTGTGAACAGATCTAGTCGATTCCCAGGTCCTTACCTAGCCCTCACATGCTTCTCGATCTCTCAGGTCATTCTGAAATCCCTCGATCCTGCGGGAAATATGCCAGATGAACGAAGGAGGAAGGAATTGATCGTCACGATAACACTGTAAGAATTGCTGCATCATGGTCAAGGCGGATATCAAACGGGACTACTATGCGGACCTGGAACTGCCCTCCACCGCGGACACGGAAGAGATCAAGAGACAGTTCCGACTTCTGGGTAAGGCAACAAAGACTCATACTTGTCCGAGCCTCACTTACAGGGCGTAGCGAAGCAATATCATCCCGATCGCAATCCCGGTCATGAAGTCGAAGTCGTTCCCAAGTTCCAGGCCGTCCAAGCCGCGCATGAAATCCTCATCGACCCGGTAGAGAAAGCCAAATATGATGCTGGTCGGGCAAGGCTCGCTGCCAAAACTGCGGCAGCTGCAAACACGAATTATACCTCTGACCCCTACAGCTACACAAGGCCTACCAATCCCAAACCTGCTCCTACCGCAAAACATTCTCCCTTTCCACCACCGCCGAAATCGACAGCACAGCGCCCGCCCCAGCCGCCGAATCAGCGACCGCCGGCCTCAGCTGGAGCCGACAAATTCAATGCATTCACCCGTGGTGCGCCGTCATGGGATCGGGCAAAGTACGACGAAGCGAGAGCAGAGGCTGCTGCAAGGATGTTTCCCAATTTGAGACCTACGTCGTCCGCACAACCGATGCCACCACCACCCAGATCGACACCCCGAGCTCCCACCGCGCCCAAATCTTCCTCCACGTCAGACATGCCGCATGTTCCAAACGTCCCCCCGACAAGTTTCCCGGGCATGTCGAGGACGGCGAGTTCAAGAGGCAGCTATCAAGCCGGCGACACACAGCAAGGTCCTCGGTCGGCATTTTCATATGTTTCCGGGACACGCGGGCCGCAACAGCCCAATCCTCATATCAATGTGCAAGAAGCCTACTCCATGCGATCACCACCAGTCTCCAGGGTCAGACCCTCGGTGAGCCCTCTGCGCCACACCAGATCCTCAGACTATGACATGAGATACGATCTTGGAGCTCGTCCACCTTCAAGATACAGTGGTAGTGGAGGGGAGAGGACAGATCTTCATGGGGATGGCCTGCACCGCTCGTCAAGCGTTCGTAACTCGCCCGTCGAGGATCGAGGCCCGTTCGGCAGGTCGACAGCTCGATTTGAGAATCTGCCTCGGCATCGCAGCGCAAGTCCTGGTATGAGAAAAGGTGGAGTTAATGCCGAATTTTCAGAGTCATCAAGCAGTGAGGACGAGACGTTGCATATGGATTCGCGGCCGAAGGCTCAACCTCGAACCACCCGGCCCCAGATGCGTTCAAACCTTAGCTACGACACCTCAAACAACCCAGGTTTGACGGGTCAATATCCCAGTACTAACTACAACAGAATCGTTGACGAGAGCCGCTATCAGTATCCTCCTCCCGAAGCGAGGGAGCCCAGTCGCAAGCCTTTCCCGGATGTCGCTCCCTTGGATCCCGAGAAGCCCGACACGTTGCATGGCGATGAAGGAGGACAGGATAAGCCCGAGTATGCCCCCCTTTTGATGGATCCCCACGCATGGTCCCAGACTTTGAGTCGCGGTCACAGAGAGTCTTCTTTCAATGGATTTCCTCCGTGGGCAGTTCCCGCGAGCGTCTTCCCCAAGACGAAGCCTCCCCGGCCTCACGACCAGCAGAGTCACATGCCCACGAACAGTGATCGTTTTGTTCACAAGTGGAACAATAGAGCTGACCAATATGTTAGTGATGCATCCGCCCATCCGAGTGCGCAGTCAACCTTCGATGCAGCCAAATGGCATGATGAGCTGAAGTCAGACAATATCTTCCGGCCTGACGAGACGCAAATGCGGAAATCGCCGTCCAAAACCAGTCGGTCTACTGGCAAACCGGCCACGGGAAGGGGAAGAGCTCAATCTCGAGCCACAGAAGATCCCGTCCCTCCCACGGAACCTCCAAATGGCGGCAAGCACACGGCATTCCAACCTGGGAAGCTAGCAGATGATTTTGCTGCTCGAGCGACAGGCAAATCAAGAAATGCGCGCGTATCCCCTGATTCAGATTCGTCGGTGGACTCTCGAGATCGCTATGTGGTGGTTGAGGAAGACGCAATGGACGTTGATACCCCACCAACAAACGGGCACCATCCTCCCGTCGCCAACGGTGTTAGACCCGCTACGACTGAGTCACCACGTGAGCAAAAGCGACGATCGTCGCAGGGAGGAGTTGATCTGAAAGATTTCACTCAACAAGCACCATTTGCGTCAACATCTGGGGGCCTTGGAGGCTTGAAGGACGACCTGGAAACCCATCTCCCCTTCGAATCTCGCGCGGCCAAGGATGTGAACTTGGACCGGACCATGTCCGCACGAATACGAGCGCTGAACCTGCCGAAACCACCAAAACCTATCGTGCCGCCCGCAGATGACCGGCTCGATAAGGCCAACTTCGACCAATACGTGCAGCACATGCAAAATTATATGCGCGAGTGGAACCACTTCAACGCCAAGATGATCGAGCATTTCCGCGCCCGGCAAGATAAGGTCTGCGGCACAATGAGCCAGAATTGGATCGTACAGGTTGGTGATGGACCCGACGCAGAGTCGCTGGAGCAGGATGAGAAGGGGGATAAACAGGCGGGGTACGCGGCGTACATGCAGTGGTTGAAGGACGATGCACAGTGTCGGGATTGGTGGGAGGAGGCGAATGAGAAGCATATGAGGTGCTTGGAGGATTTGGGGCGGGCGAGGGAGGCGGCGAAGAAAAGGCTGAGGCTCGCATGAATCTATGACCTATCAGGCTGGAGGCCTTTCATCCTTGGGCTTTCTGCGTGCAAGTTGTGTGGCTTTTTGCAACATTTCAAATGAGCTTGTTGGTCAAGGCATTGGGCAAATGGCGCGGCGAGGTTTGAGGCATGGCCGGATACAGGACTTTGGCACTCAAGTTCCGACATGCGGCGTGGTTGGATTTTGTCTCTGAATGATGCGGATACCCTGTTGGCGACGAGGCATGAGACATAGAGGGCTTGAGCATCGAAAAGGCACAGCCAATTGACATGATGATACTGCTTGAATGTCCCGAGCGAGTGCTCTGGATTTGCGAGCTAGACCAGCATCAACCTCCGTCCTTGACGCACGCAAGGAGGTAAGCTTCCTTATACTCGTAGTACTGGAGAATAACAGTAAGACACGGCATCGGCGTCACTTTGTTCCGTGTCTGCACAGCAAGTCAATGTTTCGCTGACTGCGCGACTGCATGCTCATCTCTTTCTGTGTTCATGTCGAATCTACCTTTGAGGGAACAGCCTTACTCACCATCGAATAGACCTCGCGGCCCCGCATGAGCGAGACGAGTTCCCTGCGTTCCTCGACGGTTGAGCCCACAGTCTCCCAATGGATACCTTCTCGGCGAAATGCTCGGCGTGCAAGTCCCGTCTCCTGCAGCTTCGAACTACCCTGACAGGTCAGAGTTCCTGTTCCGCCGTTCCCACGCCCTCTCAAGGGAAATCCTGCCTGAGCTTGTGGAGATTTACGCTTGGCATGAGAGGTACACGAGAACGAACGACCGCCTTCTTTGGAAAGCCGCCCGCCATTGTCAGTCATCCAAAGCGGACTCCGGTTTACGAAAGGATGTACAAATATATTGGTTGATTTCGAAGCAAGTCGAGCTATTCATACCATCTCGTCAGAGAAGTTGCGCCTGGACTGGACAGAGCGCACCTTCACAATGGGCGACACCTCGCAAGTTACAGTCCTGAAGCCTCCTATCCGCCGTAGTTGGTGGAAGGAGTCGGCCGTCTATCAGATCTACCCGGCATCGTTCAAATCGGTCAACTGCACCGTAGATGGGAATTCAGCTACAGTAAAGGGAGACCTGCGCGGCATCATCTCGAAACTTGACTACATCAAGGAGCTTGGAGTGGATATTGTGTGGCTCAGCCCTATCTTGCAATCTCCTCAAGTCGATATGGGCTATGATATCTCGGACTACCATGCTATCGACTCGCTGTATGGAACGATGGAAGACCATGACGATCTGATCAAGGGCTTGCATGACAGAGGGTTGAAATACGTCATGGATCTCGTCGTCAATCACACCTCGGATCAGCACGAGTGGTTCAAACAATCCCGCTCTTCCAAGGACAATCCCTATCGAGATTGGTACTTCTGGCGGCCGCCTCGGTATGATGAAGACGGCAACCGCATGCCCCCCAATAATTGGGAGTCGGCGTTCTCTGGGTCTACCTGGACATATGACGAAGCCACCGGCGAATACTATTTGCACATATTCGCGAGTGCGCAACCCGATTTGAACTGGGAGAACCCTGCAGTCCGGGACGCCGTACACGATATGATCAGGTTCTGGCTCGATCGTGGTGTGGATGGCTTTAGGATGGACGTCATCAACTTCATATCTAAAGCTCCTGGGTTGCCGGATGGGCAGATCACAAAACCCGGGTTCTTGCAATCGGGCATCGAGCATTTCGCTTGCGGCCCTCGCTTGCACGAGTATCTTCGAGGCATCGGCGCCATCTTGCATAAGTATGACGGCTTTTCTGTCGGTGAGATGCCGGGCGTCACGGATACGAGAGAAATCCTCAAGGCGGTTGGGCAAGATCGTGGCGAACTGGCGATGGCTTTTCAATTCGATATCGTCAACATGGATATCGAGCCGGGTGCTGGGTCGAAGTGGGAGCACCGCGACTTTGAACCGCGAACTCTCAAGCACGTCGTCGCGAAGTGGCAGTCTTTCATGCTCGAGAACGCAGGCTGGAACGCCGTATTCATGGAAAACCACGATCAAGGCCGGACAATCTCGAGGTATTGCGACGACAGCGAGGAGTACCGGACGAAGTCGGCCAAGCTGCTAGCTGCTCACATGGGTCTCCAATCGGGGACAGTCTTCATCTATCAAGGTCAGGAACTTGCACAGATAAATGTCCCTGAGTCTTGGGGTTTGGACAAGTACAAAGACATCGAGGTGATCAACCACTGGAAGACGGTTTTGCGGGACTATCCTGACGACAAGGAGAAGCAAGCCGCCTACAAGCGACAGTATCGACTCATTGGCCGTGACAATGCTAGAACGCCGATGCAGTGGACTCGTGACGCGGGCTCCTTTGCCGGTTTCCTTCCGGATAACCCACCTAAGGATGTCAAGCCCTGGATGTCGATCCACCCCGACTTTGAGCGGTGGAATGCCGAGACACAGCTTGCGGACTGGAACAGTGCATTCCTTTACTGGCAACGAATACTTGCGCTTCGCAAGCAGCACAAGGATATCTTTGCCTATGGTGATTTTGAGATGCTCGATGTGGAAAACGAATTTCCCAATGTCATCGCGTACCTAAGGACTGATCGGTCTCCGCAGGATTCACACGTGGAGAACGAGAAAGTGCGAAGCTGCCTTGTCATCGCGAACTTTTCGAGGGATCGGATATGGTGGAGAGTGCCGGAAAAGGTCGAAAATATCTTATTCGACGGCCGTAGACTGAGGAGCGAAGCTATCCGACAGGACCTGCGCAATTACACTGGAAGTGCCGCCGGCGATAACGCGACTGAAAGAGACGAGAAGGGATGGAAGATCGACTTGATGGCCTGGGAGGTGGTCGTCGCCGTGGCTTGAAAGGGAGGCGTTGGCCCTATGACTCGACTCCATCACCAAGAAGTACATTCACACCGCAGGTGAGCAGCGAGTCACCAATTGACCTCACTTTCAGTCCTTCTCCATTAGCACCGTGCCTTCACTATATGACGACTCAGACGCGTTCGTCGGTCACGAATTCAATATACTTTACCCCTTGTCCTGATCCTTCACCGCCATGGTCACGACGTCTCCCCCTCGATTCTGAACAGTTAAGTCATGAGCCTGTGCATGAATGAAGTTCCCTGACGTGCTTTTCACCCTTTCCATGCGTTGGTGCTTTCGCTTGAACCACACGGGAAGAAGTGTGAGCTAAAGCGGTGATTGTCAACCTGTCCGCGGCATTGTGCACTTCCCGATCGCCACTACGTCTCATTCAATCGTGGGAAAACCTGAAACACCGGCCATGTCATACAGGTGAGTGAGTCAGTGAGTAGACGTGTCACCGGAGACACGGAAAGCTAACGACAGGCATCCAAACCATCAACGAAGAGTGGTTGTGGCGAATACATACCAAAGAATCGGTCTTCCCCTTCCTCCCAACCCTCGCAGCTCTTTCTCTCTTTCTACCTCTGTGTATATATATCAAACGTCCGAACGGAAGTCTTTCCCTGCAGATCGAGGTCACGATGGCGCGCGCCTCTGTGTGACGCCTCGTATGTCGACACAATGTCCAACCGACAGGCCGTGAACAATGCACTGTCAATGGACAACGGAAGATCGGACACCTTGGGCTTCTCGGAGACATCCAGACAGAGTTCCAGGTTCCACCAAGATCTTGAATACGATTACAGGTAGACGACACCTTGCGCATTAGAAGAACGCTTTTGCGGTACAACGACAGAAGACACCGCAGGGCGGTAAACAGTGTGACACGGTGCCATGTTATCCATATCTGTCTCGCACAACACCCCCGTCGGAAGAGTTTCTCCGTCATGACCAGTGCTGCGGGGGATATCTTTGTGACACCTTTGTTGGGCGTCACTATCTCCGACAACCACTGACCTGTCGAGTCCAAGCTGATGGAACGAACATGGTAGGTGCACGAGGTCTAAGGCTCTAGATGTCGAAGCAGTCATGTTTGATGTGCCTTTGCTTCCTACAGGAGGAACTGACCGATGCTGGGTGCTTGGTCTCGCGTTTGGAAAAAACAAAATAACGAATGCAGCCAGCGTGGCAGCCGAAGCTAAGAGATGCACCCCTCCATGGAAACAGCCCCGGGCATCACTGTCCCAGGCTGGGGAGGTGGGCCCCAGTTGGGAGGCATGACCACGTGTCGGGTGGACGTACCGCCCGGCTCCACGACCAGTCATTGCCAACCGGCTCGTGGGCTGAACATTGTTCGGCAAGCCGCAACAAGCTCAGGACATGAAATGGAACAGATAACTCCACCATAGGACGGTCGAGGCGTCTACACGAACATCGTGGTGGAGGACTCGGCACGGATCGAGAGTGGATCGGCCGAAGTCAAAGGAGAAGGACTGGAAAATGACGCCGCTGGAGAGGTCAGCCAGCCCTGTGGAAAACACTGGGTGACGTGGCCATGGATGACAGAGCAGAAGAGATGTTGGCCTGGCCGCAAAAAGGGCTCCCTGACCCTCCCTCAAGCGGCCTCGTATCCTGGCGGCCTCGTACCCTGGCGCTTTATGCTGGGGACGTGTATCTACAACGCCGAAACACCATCTACTCTGTCTTCACCGAAGAGGGTTTGACGTCCAAGATGAAAGCGAACTTGATGGCTCTGCTGCTTTGACGGGGACGAGAGGGTGGACCAAAATTCCTGGGTCATTGCCGCTGGTGTATCTGGCGTGCTCTCCACTGGTGTCAACACAAACGGTTGTTGGTCGTGCGTGGGAGATCAGGTCCAGAGTTTTGGCCACCATCGGCCATTCTGTAATGTCAGCAGCGGAGGAGAACAAGCGTCACAATGACAGCTAAGAGGGCTGCAATGCCTTGATTTCATTGTTGAGTGCATGTCTCGAAGGACGAAGGAAGAGTGAAGAGGGGTAGAAAGTGATAGTTGAGGGAGGACTCGAAGAATGGGCAAGTTCCACCAGTCCCAGACGGGCCTAGTGCCGTCATGTGACACAGTCACATCTAGTTACAGGCCTCCCTCATGTGTGCCAACCATTTCTTGTCCCCCTCGGTACGTGTGTACCGGATAGTGAAAAGAAAGGGCAGTCCTCTCCCTCTCTCCAGTGCATCAACAATGATCATCCTGAAAGAGCGCGACGTGCACTCCTTGCTCTCCGACCTCTCGGCGACGGAATGTCACCGGCTCCTTACCAGCCTCCACGACGTTCTCCGTGCTTACTCCAGCACCAAAGACGCTGCATTGTCTGAACAAACTCTCCATCAGCCGGAGCGGGAGTCAATTGTCACCAGACTCGGGAACACGTCTCTCTTTATGCCATCTTCTATCACGACCTCGACAGGGATCAAGATCGTCACAATCAGTCCCGGCGGGTTAAAAGGCTGTATCAACGTGTTTGCGCCAGAGGGAGACTTGCTTGGCCTCTTAAATGCCGAAGAGGTCACGGCATTTCGGACGGCGTTGGCCGTCATGATCCCGTATGTGAGATGGCCCAAGCCCAAGAAGAATATCGTTGTGTTCGGTGCCGGACGACAGGCAGAATGGCACGTCAAGCTTGCTCTGCTGCTCAGCGACGTGAAGTCTATCACCGTCGTGAACAGGGGAACTGGTCGGCGAATGGAACAGCTGTTCGCGGATTTGGGTCACCGGTACCCTGAAGTCATGTTTGAGTTACTTCTCAGGACATCGGATGATTTCGATTCGCGATTGCGCCCACTTCTCGCAGCTTCGGACGTCATTTTCTGCTGCACTCCAGCAACGACACCGCATTTTCCATCCAGCTATCTAGGCACGGAAGCACGTTTCATCTCGCTGATAGGTTCCTACAAGCCATCGATGCAGGAGGTGGACTCTGCCACGCTTCTGTCAGGGGACTGCATATATGTTGATACGAGAGAAGGATGTCTCGCTGAAGCCGGAGAATTGATTAATGCGAACGTCCGTGGAGAGCAGCTCGTCGAGATAGGGCAGCTCCGGGGGGTCGACTCGTTTACGACAAACAGGAGCCTCATCTTCAAATGTGTCGGCATGGGGATCATGGACCTTGTCATGGCCGGCGAATTGCTCAACATGGCCCAGGAGAAAGGGCTAGGTGTGGTAATAAACGACTTCTGAGTGTACCGGGCTCGGTGTCTTCTGTCGTTGTACCGCAAAAGCGTTCTTCTAATGCGCAAGGTGTCGTCTCCCCAGGTCGTTAATTAGCTTCGCAAATACTCCCGCAGTGCCGCCCCGCCCCCGAATGGAACCACACCGGCGGCAAGAGGCTTGTTGTGGTCGTACGAGATCGGCCGACATTTGAGATGATTGCTGACCGGAAAAAGAGGAAGAGGAGCCGAACCACCAGCCTTTCAGGCGCGCTTTCACTGTTGTCTTCGGCGGCATCAAGTGTTCCAGAAGCTCCTCTCCTCGACGCAAATCGCTTGAACCATCTCCAAGAAGATATTACCTTTTTCACTGGTCAACGAGCTGAAATGGGTGCTCAGTGACTGCAGACCGACGACGATGGCTCAGCGGTGGTGGACCGGATGTTGGATATTCAGAAGCGGACGGGCTCACCGGTCCGAGCCCCACCTAGAAAGCTGAGACACCGCTGGACCCGGAATGCGGAAACCTGAAATAGCCAGATGGGGTGTTATTCTGGAACGCGTCCTGTGTTCATTCCACGATCATAGCCTCAGCCATAAGAAGGTCTTCATCGGCAATGTCATCATCAAACTCATCTGGCCCGTTAGTATGACCATTGGCTCCATTCCGCACCGGCATCCCGTTGACCTCGCTGTGCATGTAATCGTGCATGGTGGCATCTTCTCTTCCCATATCTCCTTCACCGCGCCTCAGTCGCTGCTCTTTCTGGAAATTTTCCAACTCCGCCAAGTCCCAGCTATCTTTGCCTTTTGTTGAACCATCCGGAAGTTTCTGCCCGGGTCCGAGCGGCTGGGCTATCGTCCTCAGGAACTTCTTAGCCATGCCCACTGCAGCATCGGTGCTCAACCCGGTCTGGCCATCTGTGATTTCTTCTGCAATCCAGCGAGGGAGTTGAGTTCGCTTCTTTTGAAACCGGCGATCAGCGAGAACCATTATCCCGTAGTCATCCTTCCCCCGCAGGACTCGTCCCAGGCATTGAGCTGCATGCCTCATGGCGTCAAAAGACAAAAAGTCTTGTTCCTTGATTCTGTAATTCTCCCGCAAGAACTCCAGGCGTGCTTTGAGGATTCTGGACTCAGTGTACTGGAAAGGGGCACCCAAACACAACACCGTGCGACCATAATGATGGTCGAAATCGATTCCCTCGGACACCTTTCCACGAGCGACGCACAGTAAAATTGCGCCCTTCCCATTTTCACACGCGGTGCGGTAAGTCTCTAACGCAAGGCTGGTCTCTTGAGCATCGGGTGTTTCCACCAAGATCAACTTGTAGGTCCAGATCTGATCCAATATACCCATGCCCTGCCACATACTGATAATCATTTCCATGTAGAGATAGGACGGAAAGAAGACGACAATGCCATCTGGGGTGATCTTGGCAAATTCGAACAATAAAGCACCGTAATTTCGCACCACACCTGGGTCAGAACGAGACTGAAAGCCCGACGTGATAGACTGCTGGTCCGAACCTCGAGTTACAATCATGGGCAGGAATGATCTTCTGGCAAGTGACATAGGGTATGATTCTTGCGTGACGGTGCTGAAGTTGAGCATCCTCGGATACATCTCCAGGGGAGAGATGGTGCCTGAGGTGATGATGACAGAGGAGAAACGTTCAAAAACTGGTTTGATCGCAATGGATGCATCGAGGCAGGCGAAGTGCAGTATAGGATTTGGCACTGTCGCTTGCTCGGTCTCGAATGGTTCAAGGATCAGGAGGAAGCCAGTCTCGTAAGTTGCAACAAGTGTCGCAAATGTGGCCACTTCCTGCAATGGTTGGTAGTCTTCAATGTTCGTCAACTCCAGTGTGCGGACCAGAGAGGTCAGTCTCTCGGCACAGAAACGCAGAGGTTTGCGCTCGATGAAGGTTAACTCTTTTAGATGTGCTAGGAACGAAGGCGGTGTTTCTTGTATAACGTATAAGACTTTCATGCGTGTCTTGAGATACTCGATGAAACGTTTGAGGAAAGCCACAAAATGCTCGGCTCGCCGAATGTTGCCTGGCACGGCTTCCTTTAGCAGATCGTCGGGTAGCGTCGGATTGGACATGAAGGCGTCCTCTGCTCTGGCTTCATCCGCTTCTCTCAGTCCCTCCACAAGCTTCTGATATTCGTCCTGGAGTTTCTGCTCATCGGACGCCTTCATTTCCTCGATCTTGCGTTCGAGGTTGTTAGCACCACGGGTGGCTTTCCTCAGGGAGTCTTCCGTCAAGTCAATGGAGAGCGACTCGATGCAGACGTTGTCGATATTGTGAGCTTCGTCAAAGACAACAATGCAGTCCTTGGAAAGTTCTTTCGAGACACGTTCCGCGATTTTTGGGTCGAGGAGATAGTGGTAAGAATAGATGATGACATTGCAAAAGGGCATCATCCGACGGGCGGAGAAGTAGGGGCACTGTTTGTGGTTTTCGCCATACTGTAGCAACTCATCTAGGGTGAAGACGCCGGGAGGTAGGAGGTTGTGAGGCTCGAGAAGGTCCAGATTCTCGTGATAGACACACAGCTCAACGTCCTCTCCTCGCTCTTTCTTCTCCTTGACGAAACCAGCTGTGACACTTCGACATCTAGCGTCAACGACCGCGCCACTCTTCTCTCGCTTGATCGACGGATGTAGACACAGATTCTTTCTGCTCGTCAGACCCAAACCTCGAAAGTCCTCTGTGAAGCCGAGTTCCTTGGAGCGATATTTCATAAGCGATCTTAACTCTGCCAAGGCTTTCTCGATCTCTGACATGGTACGTGAACAGTAGATGAGCTTGCGGTGCTCCGGATAGTGCTGCTGGTATGCAACAATGAGAGATAGCAATGAAACGGTTTTGCCAGTACCGGAAGGCATTTCCAGAACGCAGTGACCTCCGGCATCGAGGGTTCGTTTGAGATCGCACATGTAGGCATATTGTTCAGGGTAGACGCGAGGATAAGGAAAGAGAACAGGCAGGTCACTGCGGGAAGATCAGCGGTCATCCAGACAGTCCGAGCTCGCAAATGAGGCTTCATACTCGATGAAGAATTTCATGTTGGGAGCGTGGCCTTGATTGACCACCGCTCCCGGTACCCTGGCCGATGAACTCCGCTATGGTCAGTCGCAGTGACTGAGTTCGCAGCTCTGGGAGACTCGAGATTCACCATAGATCCGAAACAACAGGAGAGCTGAAATCTGGTGTGCACAGTGGAAGAGGTGGTCGAGAGGGTGGTAACTTTTTCTGCCGCCACGGTCGCACGCGTCCCGATCAGCCAGGCTGCAGGCGCCTTGTACTCCGTACTGTGTAAGGCTTAACTAGGCACCGCCTAGGACGCAAGGCCGATCTTTGTTTCACACGTCATTCACTTCGTCTTCACACGCTCATTACGTGACTTCCAAAATTTTGGCGTCCACCCCACAAGGCTCCCCCACTAAATCTCAGAGTTGGAAACACGACTATTGACAATCGCATGTTGGGGCAGCATGAGCAAGAAGTTCAAGTCGCAAGCATCAGCTGCAAGCGCCCGTGCTGCTTCTGCCACCTTTGGGTCATTCTCCCCTGGTCCCAGCTTTGGGGCTCCTGCTCTTGCCGGGTTCCAAACTACACCGTCGCCGCTTTCCTATATCGCTGAACAACCCGACTTGACTACCATCACGGATGCCAACCTCGTTGTCACGCTACGGAATCTGGGGAAGAAAGACAGTACAACCAAAGCCAAGGCTCTTGAGGAACTGCAAGATTATGTGGGCTTGCTAGGCTCGGGCGAGGCCATCGAGACTGGCTTGTTGGATGCATGGGTTTGTCATTCTCCTGATCCGCTTGTCGTCAACTAATTGCCACAAGATCAGCCTGTACCCTCGGACCTCGATCGATAACTCTCGAAGAGTTCGACAGCTCGCTCATACTTTGCAAGGCTCACTCACAACCCTTGCCGGAAAACGAATAGCTCCTCAGCTACCTAAAGTGATCGGAGCATGGCTCTCTGGCTTGTATGATAGTGACCGGTTGGTTGCTCGAGCGGCACAAGATTCTGTTTCAACGGCTTTCAATTCCGAGGAAAAAAGGCGGGCATTGTGGAAGGTCTATCGAGGTGCCTTGGTCGACTACGCCAACGATGCGATCCTGGTACAGACCCCTCAAACGCTGAGCGATGAACGCTCAACCACACCAGACAATGCAGAGTCCAAGTTCGTTCGCGTGGTGGGAAATGCGGTGCAACTGCTCAGCCAGATCGTCAAGGTCAATTACCCGGCGGGCAGCGCAGACAAGCTGGCTGGGTTAGACAGTATCAAGATCATTGTCGAAGAGAAGAAGCTATGGGAATACTCATCACATCAAGATCCAACCCTGCGGAGAGCTCTATGTAGCTTGGCCAAAACATGCGCGGATACCATTGCCCAAGAATTGAATTGGAAGACCCTTAGCGTTTGCTTCATTGGTAAAGCCTTGCACAGCAACCAGCTCGGCTCATCCCGCCAACTCTCAGAAGCTCTTCTCAGTCTCACATCGGTCCGACCAGAGATATGGACGATAGACTACACCTCGAAAACGGCGGCGTCAAAACGGCTATTTCAGTTTCTGCGAAAAGGATCCCAACGAGGGCCTGTCGAATTCTGGTCTGACGTCAAGGCACTCATCAAGGGGATTCCGCTCGAAGCTTGGAGCACCATCACGGAGGACGGCAAGGTCCGTTTAGAAGATGGCGCAGTTTTGCTAGAGTCTCTGCGCGCTGGTGTGACCAGTAGCGAAGAGCCCCGTCAAAACCTCGAAGCTGCATGGTCATCTTATGTTGAGATCTCCTTCTGGCTGCTAGAGAGGTCGGGTGACGAGCAGTCAAGGGTGAAGTTACTGGAAGACAATGCCCTCCCTCTGGTTACGGAATATGCTGCGTCGGAAGCCAGCACGAGTCTGTGGGTACTTCCGAGTACGTGCAATGCCGAGATAGCGGCGTCAATCCTCGTCAGTATCCTCCACCGAGGAATGCATTCCTGTTTTGAAACCACCTGGACAAGGCTGTGCCAGAGTCTCGGCGATCATATGAAATTGTCCCTGCCAGAATCCTCGAAAGACTTCGTCAAGTCACAGGATAAGGTGATCTCTCAAGCTCAGCGTCTATTTCGACTCAAGAGGATCATCCTGGGTGCTCAACACCTTGCCTTATCTGCAAAACAATACGTGGCTGACGTGATTCGGAGATCAGACGAGAGCTTAGTGGTTGCGGCGATTGAGCTCTTGGAGGCACGAAATGGAAAGCCATATGGTGCAGCTGGTGTCCTCGAAACCGTTGTCGCTCCTACCGAAACGCTTCCGAAGTCACTGGAACTTTTCCTGGGCTCGGATGCCCTTAGGCTGCTTGCTAGCCCATCAGCAGAGTACTTGGTAGCATTGTTATTGCGCACACGCGCAAGCCTAGCACAAGTTTTCACGGCGTTGGTCTCTGCCGGAGACGGACCCAGTGCCTCCGCTGCACTTGGTCGACTCGCTGGTGACCTCTCTGAAGAAGAATGTCTGCAAATACCTGATTTCGAGCCCTTCATTGTGGAACGGATATCATCACATCTTGAAACCTCGACCACCCAGCAAGTGGTAAAGAGTATACTTCAGAATCCCAAACTCACCTCCTCTGCCCTCCACAAGAGAATCTGCCAGAGGTTAGTCGATCAGCTATCTCCAGATAACGGGGAAAATTCACAGCAAGATGTTCTTCGTTTTGTGCTCAGCCTTCTCAGTGACCGTACTGTCAACCCCTCCCCCTTCTCCGGCGATGTAGCAAGACTGCTCCTTGCGAAGCTGCTCCTGCTCACCGAATCTGGTGATGAGGAAACAGCCGAGCTTGCGAGCGCATTGCTAGGAAAGCTGAAAAGCACGCCGACAGGGACGTCGTCCACAGCTGTCTCTTCTGCGGCCCTTGTCGCCGACCAACTGTCAGGAAAGGGTGATCCTCTCCCTGTCTTCGTCCTCGTCGATCTTGGCAAAGACACCTTGAAAGCACTGTCATCGCCACATGGCCATGTGCTCGACTCGCTTCTTCCCACCACAGCTCAGTGGGAAAACTCCCTCAAAGACCATATCACTAGGCCGCCACCGCCATCGATTTCTATCACCAGTCCCTTACGCGGCTTGATCTCCGTGATCACGCCTGTGCATGCAAGCACACCGACACTGTCTAGAGACTCGGAGGGACATTCCTACCTGTTCCGGCTGTTTCTCTACGTGACCAAGATGATGCATGCTACCAATCTCTCCATGTTACAGTCTGAAGAGCAGTTGTTGACACTGTACACCTACTACCCTCTGGCTCTAGAGATTGTGAACGAGAATTTGACCATGGAGAGTCAAGATGGCCTCTGGCATAACACCAGTAACGAGGTCGTGGAAGACGCTGCTGAGGCACTCTCGCAAGGCACTTCGCTGGTACAGAAGTGGTTGCAGGATGACAAATTCATCAAACTCTGGATAGAGGCAATCCGTTCAACAGATTCGCTGGATCCGGATGCGTACTATCACGGTTTGGCGTTTACCAATATTGCATCGGGCTTTGTTGATGAGCATGGCTCCGCAATGCTCACATCAGCTTTCGAAGCGGAAATCAAAGACCTGCATCACGCAGACGAAGTCGTCCGATCCGCAAGTTTGGTTTCCGCTTGCCGGCATTACTTTATCAGCTCTCAACAAGGACGAAAACTATTGAACGAGTTGATTGGAGCTGTGACGGGCATAAATGTACCCTCCACATCGAACATGGCCGTGAGGCCATTGATCCTCCTTGACATCCTACTGAGTGGAAGTCCCGAACCCGTGGAGGGTATACCGAGCCAACGCCAGAATTTCCTCATGCAAACACTGGTGCGCATATTTTCCGACCCTTCAGCAGAATCAAATCTCCAAGCATTGACCATCAGGCTTCTTGAGCCTATCGTTGCGGCTGTCAAAGACCTCTACGGAGAACACTGGGAAAGAATCCTACAAGGTCTCGCGGCTATCTTGCAGAACAGAACCAGCTTGAACGAGGATCTTCCTGTCTTACATGCGTCTCTCCGGCTCTGCGGGCGATTGAGGACTCTGGCTAAATCTGATGGAGCGAATGAGGATCTAGTGGACGCGTGGGAAGCCACAGACTCATCCGTCGAAGAGGGTTTACTGGATTGTCTGCGTGGTTTTAGCGACTCATTGAACGGGATCAATCAGCCTACCCGGATCACTGCTGAACTGCTGCGAAGGCAGCTGTCGCAGATCCCTGCGCGCCACGATGTGAGCCTATATCCTTTCCTTTCCTCGGCAGTGGACTCCGTCCAAGGAGCAGCCTACGACCTACTTCATCGATCTATCCCTGCAGAGCAAGAGCAGATCTCATTAGACGTAGCACTGGAACAGAAAGCCGCACATCTGCCAACGGAACTCCTGGAGTTGTTGCTCGATATGCCACAGACCTCCGCGAGGACAGATGTGTTGCTGCAGCGAGGCTATCTGCTCTGCTGGAAGCTGGTATTTGATCACTTTCCGAAGGCCTCATACAAGCTTCAGGAATTATACACCGCGGATCTCAAAGAGAAAGGTGTCGTGGGAGATCTTCTTGAACTGATTTGCGACGTCTGCCGGATCACGAGTAGTCACCCGCTTGACGCCTCGAAAACCCAACTCAAGGACTTTGAACTTGGCACTAGCGAAACCGAGAAACAGGAAGAGCAGCGCTTGACACTGCATCTTTATTATTGCTGCCTACTGTTCCTCCCCGGGCTCACCCGGAGCTGGTTCATAGAACAGAAAAATCGTGTCAAGTCACCACTCGAGAGCTGGACTCAGAAGTACTTTTCGCCATCCCTGATCTCGGCCGCAGCTGCTACGGTCACCAACTGGGTACAAACTCAATCCCAAGATGAGAGCGATTCACCCATGACGATTAAAACATCACTCAGTGGATCCGAGACAGTGGCCTCGATTGCTGTGGATCCCGAGTCACCGCCTATCTCTTTGGCCATCTCCCTACCAAAGAGTTACCCTCTGGATTCTCCGAGTGTCTTTTCGCGTACCCGAGTGGGTGTTTCTGAGAAGAACTGGCAATCATGGCTCCGGACCATTCAGATCATTATATTCAGCACCGGCAGCATCATTGAGGGCCTCATCGCGTTCCGACGCAACGTGCAAGGCGTCTTGAAGGGACAAAGCGAATGTGCCATCTGCTATTCTATCATCGGCACAGATATGCAGATTCCCAACAAGCGATGCGGGACCTGCAGGAATACCTTCCATGGGGCTTGCCTGTTCCGCTGGTTCAAGAGCTCCAACAGCTCGAGTTGTCCACTCTGTCGGAACAACTTCAATTACGCCTAACAGACAGACCATTTGGCCGCCAGTAGGAGAGTCGCTCCGATTTGTTTAAACGATGGTCGATACACCCGATGCTCGGTACACCCGATGCTCGATCGCAGGGCAGCTAGAGACGCAGTTGAGAACAAGGTGAAGCTTGATGTTCACGTAACTGCGTTTGCGGCATTGTGACCTCCCTCTGCCAGTGCTGGCACGTGCTTCTCCCCAATGTTAGCTGTCCATGTCCTCTGTTTAGCCGCGTCTATCAAGGACACGAAGGCTGATGGACGACAGCCACACAATCGCTGAGCGCAGACGCGTGGTGTTCACCCAACTAACCAACTCGGAGGAAAACCAAGATAGAGTGAGAAATACTAAGATAAAGTAACATAGATGGTTTCAGCTCCACAACTACAATACTGTCTGGGTGCTTGTAGGTACAGCAACACTGCGCTCGATACTGCACGGAGTACCTTCGTCTAGGAGGCTGCAGAGGCTCAGAGGCGACCCTCGGCTTCACCCGTGCATACGTCACCGCAGCCTGTTCTAGTGCCTGTGCAGTTAGTCGAGGGTGCCTGTGTGGGTGCCTAAGCACCTAATAAGGTAGGTACCCAGGTAGTCAGTCTCGTTCTAGACCCCCGCTAATGCCCGCCTAATTCTGTCACTCCACCAAACTTTCTTCAATGTTGGAGACCCTTCGCATTGGTCGTGTCTTTGCGCCTCATAGTAACTGCTATGCTTTCTGCAGCGAAGGCATCTTCTAACGCCAACAGTCGTACGCAACATCTGCTCCTATGTCCGCGCCGTCGATACCAAATTTGAATTCCCTCCGAAGAGGAGCCCTGCGCGGACGAGGAAAGAGTCACGCAGCCGATTCTTTCGATGTTGGTCGACCAGAGTCACGCCGCAAACAAGTCAATCATGACGCGGTCGTCCAGAGTACCGACGACGATGCTGCAGTCTCTCGACAAAGTGCTGTCGACGCCGGTTATCTCGAAGATCCCTTCGCAGCTCTCTTACATACCAGCAGCCCCGTTTCGAGACGGTTACCGCTGATGAATCGAGGTAGGACAGTGACTTGCGCAAGCATTGTAAACTCTGGATTTATGATTGGCAGGTACATATGTCAGGACCACCGGCATCGATCGCGTTGTCGACAAGTTCCTGTCGTCTGCTCAAGAGGGCCGCAAACAGATCATCTCTCTGGGTGCAGGCAGCGACACAAGGTTCTTTCGCTTGAAGCAAAAGCAGCGGAAACTCGACCTTGTTTACCATGAGCTTGACTTTGAGGCCAACACCAGGAGGAAGATCGCTCAAATGCGCAGCCCTGCTTTTGCGGCTGCTGCGAAGGCGCAAGCAGGAGTCGATCTGCGTGCAGATTCTCTTGCATCGTCTCAGGACGCGGCCGTCTTGGTCACCTCTGACTATCTCGTTCACCCTCAAGATCTACGACTACTACCCAAAAAGGATGGACCCCTTCCGGGCATCGACACAACGCTTCCCACATTAATCATTTCGGAATGCTGTCTTGTGTATCTCCCCCCGGACGACGCCGACGCCGTGTTACGATACTTCTCGAACCTGTTCCCGGACACAGTGCCTCTCGCCATTGTCATCTACGAACCAATACGTCCACATGATTCATTTGGCAGGACGATGATAAGCAATCTGGCAAGTCGAGGGTTGCAGTTACCGACACTGGAGAAGTATCATGACCTCAAGGAACAGATAGGGAGACTGCGCACATATGGGTTTGGTGGCGGTTCACCTCTGTCCTGTGACGGTGCGGGAGCGGCCGACATTGACTTCATCTGGCAGAAATGGATATCTGCAGTGGAGAAGGAACGCGTTGAAGGTCTAGAATGGATGGATGAGGTCGAGGAGTTTGTCCTCCTTGCGAAACACTATTGCATCTCTTGGGGGTGGAGAGGGTTTGCGGCGCAATCGCCTTGGAAAGACTTGCCTGCCCCTGCCGGGTGAGAGCTACGGGGGACAGAGTTCAGGAGGAGGAAACTGCACGCTGCGAGCATGAGGCTCAGGAGACATACGGCACAGCTATATTCATTCATTCTGGATGCGTACCCCTAAAAAGTCTCAGGTACTGAGGTACGAGCATCGACAACTCCGGCGGCGACGTGCTCTTTCACCACTAACAAGTGGAGGCCAACGGTACGGCGTGGTAGACGCCACGTTTTACCAAGACTCCAACGTGAAGCCGCGATGTGGAGTATGCGTCAGTGCAAAGCGAAGCCTCCTTTCTGCTGTACCTGCTGGAACCTTTCTCAATAATCCGCATGGCCTCTCGCAGCTCACGGACGTGTATGAAAGAGCTGACTTCTTATGGACTATCACCACAACTCCGCTATCCAGGCACGGAATTCTATGGACAGAACCTGTGGCTGAGGCTTCCTGCGCCGAGCTTCGATTCCCAGGTGGCGGAGGGGCGCAAAATTTCCCGGCCGAGCTTTTAATTCCCGACCCCAGCAACCAGGGCGACCAACACAAAGGGGCAACCGGGGGCGTATCAAACGTGGGCGCCAAATCTTTGGGCGAGCCATGGTATCAAAGTCGAACAGTGTCCACCACAGGCGTTACGATGCGGGTTCCTTCCCAGCGCACTACGCAGTACGAGGTACACTGACGAAACAACCATGGATCGGTCTCGTCCGTACTGCGAAGCTGGCTGATGAAAGAAGCTCGCCAGTGAAGTGACGCGAGATTGGCCCTGCCAACATTCCAGGTTTCCATCAACACAGCAACAAAGCAGCTCTTTTGATTCCCCCATCACGATTCGATCCCGCACGGGCGTTGCTCGATCATGCTCCAGGATCAAGCTCTTGTCGGAGCTTTTGTGATTCGTGGTATGAGATTGACCCCCCCAAAAGCGGACCGCGGCTTGACGCGATCGAGAGCGGCGTCCCTGACTTTCCCCCATTGACAAAACAAATTACCCCATTCACAACACAAACAGTGCCGACGGTGGGTCATCTTGAAGCTAGGAGGGGGACCAGCAATGCGCCAGCCTTGCATCGCTCCAGACGGCCCTGTTCATCGTCACAGGCAATTTGCGCTCGAGAGCTTGATCTGCATTCTCCTTGACCGCTGCGCGTCGTTCATCAACCATCCTACGAGTCCTGCTTCTGCGTTTTCGGTTTGTTGTCGCTGGAGTTGCTGTCGTTTTCGCTGTCGCGCGCTCTGCGAGCACCCACGTTCTTTACCAAAACAACTGACCCTAGTCACTCTTTTACGAGTTCGCACATTGTCCATTTCGAGCACAGTCCAGTGTCGCAAGGCGATGCTCAAATCTCAACAGTGACACCATTGACGACCAGCCGCAGAAATGCGACAACGAACCATCACCTCAAGCGCAAGCGCGCTCCTGCTCCTCATCGCGACTGTCGTCAGCGCGAAACACAGCGGCATCCACGAGCATCTCGAAGCTCTACACAAACGACACCGCGCTAGCCGTGAAGTGGCCGCCAGGTCGACTGTTGAAAATGGAGAACAGGGGGTAGAGATAAGAGCGATCCCAGAAACCACAACTTCGAATGCCAACGTCGAGAAGCGGCAAGGACAATGCGCTTTCCCGACCGACGCTGGCTTGGTCCCTGTCACGCCCGGCCGTCAGAACGGCGGGTGGGCCATGAGTCCAGATCAGCCATGTACGCCGGGCAGCTATTGTCCATACGCCTGTCCGCCCGGTCAAGTCTCAATGCAATGGGATCCCAGTGCGACATCGTACTCATACCCGAAGTCCATGGTTAGTCCTGTACCCCCAGATTCTAGACTCTCACACTGACGAATTTAGAATGGTGGACTGTATTGTGACAGCAATGGAAATATCCAAAAGCCGTTCTCCAACAAGCCATACTGCCAGCAAACCAGCAGCAACATTGGCGTCCAGAACAATGCTGGTGGTGTCGTTGCTTTCTGTCAAACCGTTCTGCCCGGCAATGAAGCCATGTTGATTCCCACATCCGTCACTAGCTACGCAAGTCTTGCTGTGCCGGATCCAAGCTATTGGTGCGAGACGGCCGCACACTATTACATCAATCCCCCAGGGATCAGCACCGATGAAGCGTGCGTCTGGGGCAGCAGCTCTAATCCCTATGGCAATTGGTCCCCGTACGTCGCCGGAGCCAATGCCGACAACTCGGGCAACACGTACATCAAACTTGGGTGGAATCCCATCTACCTGGAGCCAACGACTCCTTTCCGCAACGAGGTGCCAACCTGGGGTGTCAAGATTGATTGCCCCAATGGCGGTTGCAACGGTCTGCCCTGCGCAATCGACCCCAGTCAAAATGGCGTGAATGAAATGACTGGCGGCTCTAGCAAGGGGGCGGGCGGTGGTGCATTCTGCGTCGTCACCGTCTCGCAGGGTGCAACCGCCAACTTTGTCATCTTCAACGCTGGTGGTGATCAGAGTGACGGCAACAGCGGCAGCTCGAGTTGGGGCCATCCAAGCTCGTCCGGTGCAAACAACAACAATAACAATGGTGGTCAATTCTTCAGCCAGACCAGCAGCTCCTCCCCGTCACCCACCGACTCCTCTTCTTCCTCCCAACCTACTTCCAGCCAAGCTCCGACGACGTCTTCAGCGCCAACTTCATCCGAAGACTCCTGGACGTCTTCGTCGGCGCTCACAACGAGCTCGTACCCCGCCGCCCTAACAATGACTGCGCCCACGACGACCGACTACGGTACCCGGCTGCCATCTGAGTCCCCGTACTATTCGTTGTTCAACCACACGACCTACGCCGTTCCTACCCTGGGCTCCAGCGGAATCCCTGCCGAGGCTACAGCGGTGCCGTCTGGGCCAAGCGCTTCATCAATCTCTTCGATGGTCCCGGGTACCGGGGCGGCCTCGATGGTGAGAAATTCCGCCGTCAACATCCTTTCGGCTCTGGCCTTGTGCGCCGTGGCCGCATTATGACACCTCAGTCTGTGGGACTCCAGTCCTCAAGCAATATCAGATTTCAAGCAAGAATAAGGACCTTGAATCTGAACCGCAGCTGGTTTGCAGACTACTCCCATCAGCCGGATGAGCTGACAAAGTTCGACGTTCACTTCTTCGCACAAGTTGATTGCTGCTGAAGCGAAATATATTTTTTCCAAATGTCCGAAATCATTCTGGTAATGCCGGCAAAGGGGCACGCAAGCTACGTCGACCACATCGCACTCGCACTCGCACTCACAATCACACAACTTGGAGATACTGTGCACACGGAAGACAGTTTTTGGTAGCACCGCACACATTCAGAATATTGAAGGATTGGAGACCTGCGTTCTAACGATATCCACGTCTGTTTTGTTGCGAGTTTCGCTATGTTTGTGGGGGACCTGGATAATGCCTGCCCCTTCGAGGGAAGTTGGCAAGGCAGCTCAGAGACGAACTATATACTGTACGGAGCACCGCTGAGGAATTGAGCGCGGAGGGGGCATGCGAAGGTGTTTCGAAGTTTACTGTATAGTTTGCTTATAATCAAACCTGTTGATACTGATATCTTGGTCCTCGTTCTTTCTTTCCCAAGCAGTGGCACCTCGCATGGCTACTAAGTACTGTACCAGCCTTGCGCCTCTTGATGCAGGCGGTGCCCCTCCATGTGATCCATAGTTGGAGATCCTTCCGACTATGTGCTGCTGTGCTTCGACACCCCGCCTTCATTCGTTCAGCCCTGAGCCTGCGAAGTCACCTTCAAGTGATAGCAAACGGACTACTGTACATCCATACTGAGTTGACTGTGTAAACTTCTCACCAGCATAGCTCGCTCCAGTGCCGACACTGCTTCCACGGTCTCGGTCGGCCACCGATCTGCGCTATCACCAGACCCTCTGCCTCCCGTCTCAGGACGTGTGCGCTCGGCCGGGAAGGAAAGGCCAACTACAAACAACATCATCAATCAAGTGGATCAAACATGCCAGCCGCATCTCCTCAGACGGTGAGTGAGCAGCCCCTCAAAAACATGGACTTCCCGTCCGTCACATACTGTATCTTCCGAGACATGACATGCCCTGGAGGGCTTGATTCCGCAATGGTCATGATATACTGCACCATCTCTACTCGCGCACCGACACGGTCAATCCATTTCTGACGCTTTCGTTCGTTCGTTCGCAGGTGAAACTGAAATCGACTCTCCGCCTCCTGATCCCGCGTCTGCGCAATGCACAGAAGAAAGACACGGCACTCTCGGTGAGCGCGCGGCGCGAGATGGCCGAACTGCTCGCCCAGTCGCGCGAGGCGTCGGCGCGCATCCGCGTCGAAAACATCATCCACACGGACATCACGGTGGAGCTGATGGAGATCCTCGAACTCTACGCCGAACTGTTACTCGCGCGGGCGGGCCTGCTGGACGTGCGGGACAAGAACATCAAGGAAGGCACGACGGCACACCACGTAAACGGCGGCGACGATGACCCTACGACGGGCTTGGAAGAGGCCGCGGCCAGCATCATCTACTCGGCGCCTCGGCTGCCGCGCGACGTGCGCGAATTGGGCATCGTACGCAACATGCTGATCGACCGGTTTGGCAAGGACTTTGCCGTTCGCGCAAACGAGAATCAAGACAACTGCGTTCCCGCGCGCGTCGTGGAGAAGTTAAAGGTCGACCCGCCGAGTGCGAAGCTCGTGCAGGCGTACCTCGAGGAGATCGCACGGACGTATAGTGTCGACTGGCCGCCGCACAGGGAGAGCGAACAAGTCGAGGCGTTGGGCGACGAAGTGGACGGCGAGGACCGGGACGATGATCTCGGAGGAGGAGGTGCCCGGGTCAAGGAGGAGGCATCTAATATCATTCTCGCCGACGGAGCAGCACCACCACCACCAGCCACACCCTCGAGGCCGCCGAACAAGATTGACATTGGGAATCTGCAGCATGCGACGCCCCCGACGAGTCTGGAGCCCGGGGGAGCAAAGAGCCCTGTCTCGGTGGCGCCGCCTGGCGCGAGGTCGGACAATTTAAGCCCCAAGGTCAAATTGCCTGGGGGAGGAGAGGTGGGCAAGACCAACAACGGTGGTGCGAAATCAGCAGCAGCATCTACGGGCACGGTCAAGAGCAAGAGTCCAGCCTCTTCAAGTGGAGGTGGAGGCGGAAGTGCAGGAGCAGTTCCTGGCAAGGTACCTACCGTCGACGACTTGGCGAAAAGGTTCTCGGCGCTGAAGAGATAGCGCAGGTGTGTGTTCTATGGGCTGATCGGGACGGGCCATGGCGTTGAATTTATACAAATATTGTGCATCGGTGATGAAAGACAATATCCACCCTTCGTTAAGGCTCCGCCCGAATGGCCGTGTCCGTGCTCCCAGACCAAGGCTCTCTTTGCCAGGTAACGCTATGCTGGCACTTTGCGCTTCCACAAGCCCTCACCCGCCTTTGAGACCCAATCGACGCCTCCTCCTAGGAGAGCTCACCACACAGATCCTCCGAAGGTACCAATGACACGACCCGACTTCGCCGCCCGCTGTTGAACCAGCTGAACTAGTTGGGTCCTCCAACAACGATGCATTTGTCCCAGTCAAGAAACCGAGTCGGTGTATACACCGGCAATCGCCGTGTCTCGCCGTGTCATTCGGTACCCAACATACCTATTCCTTCCCCTTGGGACGGGTAGCACTCCAGCCCCCTTCCAGACCTGGAGATGGTGCGTTGATGTTGGCCGGCCGTCGACCTGGTCACCATTCGAGATGAGATGGACCTAGACCTAACCTATACCAAACATGCTTGTTGGAAGCAGCTTTGGCTAGGGGCCTCTTAAAAATGGTGTACAGTTTGTTGTGGGCCTCGCCCTCCTCACTCCTCACTCTAGTTTATCCAGATGCTCCAGTCTCGTCAAGACGACTTGTTTGCTCGTCTCTTCAATCTCTCCGGCCAAGAAGACCTCATCGAGGATGGCGTAGACCTTGTAGAAGTTGAAGACGAGGTCCAACTCGCAGACGTTGCCGAAGAATTGATCGAGCACTTCGACGAAGAAGTGGATCGCCTCCAGGTAGGCAAGTTCGTTGTCATTGGCATCGACACAGACGCAGAAGAACAGCCCCGCGTACCTCCGATAGACGATCTTGGTCGACGACAGGTTCTGGCGGACGAGGGGTTGAGAGTGAGACGTCGAGGCCGACGAAGAGGGCGCGGACCGAAACTCGACAAAGTTGGATTGGTATTTCTGGTCGCGAGGCGCGATGAGCCGATGCACCTCGCCCTTCAGCTTGACCTTTTCTTCGTCGGTATACGGCGCGTACCTTCCAGCATAGGCAGAGTTAGTTAGTTAATTGCTTGCTTCTTCGGACTGTGCATGGCCCCCCATGGGGATATTCGACTGGGTGGTATAACTCACCACTTGGCCAACCTGGTCTTTCCTTGCCGGTTCTGGACGAGAATGAATGAAAGGACCATGGCGAAGGGCCGCGCGCGGCAGGTAGGTAGGTACTTGCAGAGTCGATGTCAGACGTTGAAGAGGGGACACTTCTAGTTGTCGGCGCGGAGTCGACGCCGGAGGACGGAGGGACGGAGGAGACAGCAACGGCCAGCGACTCCGCATAGAGGAAGGCAGCACCAGCCACAAGCTTATGTAATTCAAGCTAGCCACAGAGCCACAGTGCCACACATCCACACCTGCGACAACATCAGCGGGCAGCACACCTAATCACTACACAACACGACAAGACGGGAATGCTTATCAATGTCGATGGGCAACTTTGTGTCCTGAGGGGCATGCTAAGGGTATGAAAGCGACCAGACACACATGTTCATGTTTCCCAGCACGGCATTGGCAAGGAGGGTTGTTAACAAGGTCAGTTGAATTTGTGAATGCCAACCTTTACAAAAAGTGGACAGAGACCCGCGTGTCGTGTTCAAAGACGGCGTGCAAGAACTCGTCCCCCAGAGACTTTCCATGGCCGCAGCTAGGATTGCGTGTTTGGAACGTACACACATGTGAGTTCAACATTTGAGCAAGTGGGACGTTCTGAGCTGCTTACGACCCCATTCAACCGTGTGAATACAGGTGCTTTCAGTGCTGAAGTCCCGTCCGCATTGAATCCATGAAATTCGAGCCCAATCTAAATAACTATGGGAGCTTAGAGTCGCATCAATTCCGAGCGGTGTCATGCTGCCTGGGTTCAGCGGTTGACTCCCATTCTGATTCTCATTTCAAGAAGAACATTTGCTCCACGCACGCCGAGATCATAACCTCTCCCAATAACCGGCGTTTGCCTCAAACAGATGAATGCCCCTCCGACGAAAACCCTAGTGGTCATACCAGTGACATATGAGAACGAGCTTGATATTAGCGGATCAAGACATTCATCACCCCCGCTCGAGCATCACTTGACCACTATCCCACCATTTCACAGTATCAAGATGTGACGAGTCTTTGTTGGTGCGGATATTCGCAGAGTTTCGCTCTTTATGTAGCCGCTCTCCGGTGCACGATGCAGAATTCTGGTGGTCACCAAACATCCACCGACCCTACACGGCAGGCGATACGCACCGAATATCAAGCTCGATCCTCGAAACCTCCATACCGAGATGACCACCCAGCAGAAGAATCTTAGCGAAGCAACCTTGATAATGTCCACGTCGCATCAAGTCAGTCGCCATGGGATTCCCAGATCCAGCGCGGACAGCCAGCCCATGCAGCGAGCTGACCGGAACCACATCGAAAGCTGCGTTTCCCCCTTCAGTGCTGGCCAAGAGCTTTCCTCAACATCCAGCACTCCGCCGACACAAACAACTCGTCATGAGGTTCACCTGCGAGGCGGCATGCCTTTGGAAACAGTCAGATACGAACGAGACGAGTGTGAATGTAAGTGCTGTACCGTCATGTGAAGAATGGCATGGGGTTTCTGCTGGCACTAGGACTGCCAGATGCGAGAGGGGGAAGGGGGAAGGGGGGGGGGGGGTTATCGAGCAGCAATAACCGCTGTAAGCGCTCCCTGGGACGAAAGACCGCGCGACTGCATGAGCTGGGACTGTCAAATTCTGCTGGACCATGGCCCTCTGCAACAGCTCCCATTGAAGGCCATGAGATGGCATGATACTTCAAGGATGGCCAATGATCCACCAGCAGCATACCGGAAGACTTACGGTCAAAGGTCCGTGATATACAGGATGCACACACTGTATCCCGATAGCTCACACATTGGGAAATCAGATCCCATTCAGCCACCTGAATCACCCTGGTGGTGTGAACCAAACGAGTCCCGCAACAACATCAGACTGATTCTTCCCTTGGTGTTTGCTTTCACCTTCGACGGAATTCCTCGTCTGCCACCCCCTGGGTCCGTTTGGGTGATAATCAATGCCGCAGCTTGCACGTTTGCTGAAGGATATTATGTATATATTGCTCGCCTGGTTCCTAAACTCACCGTGCACGTTCATCCCCCATAAGTTGGCCGACCACTCATCCACCACTGTTGCAGTTTCTGACCGACCTACATAATATACCCAGACCACCGGCAGGAACACTGACTGGCTGTGCTTTATCTAGGGAGTCCAAACCGCGAAGACCACTGGCTGTGCTTTATCTAGACAGTTCAGACCGGGCAGAACACTGACTGGGAAGAACACTGACTGGGAAGAACACTGACTGGGAAGAACACTGACTGGGAAGAACACTGACTGGGAAGAACACTGACTGGG